CAGTAAAGGGAGCACCGCGCTCAAGCTTTAGACTCTGCGATGAGCGACCCCGCGCTCTACCCCGCGCGCCGTCGCCCCTCCTTCCCGTCCTCGCCTAGTTCTTCTCTTCCCCCCCCGCCCCTGCGACCGCACTATTTTCCCTAGAGATTCCTTCCCCCGAGCTAGTAAATCAAATGTTCGTGGTCTTGGTTGCGTTATTCATATACAAGGTACGCACGAACCGCGCAAGAGCGCGGCAGAAGATGAAGATCGGTGTAGGAGGACGAGCATCAAACAAGTATTTTTAATTATAGATACCTCAGCTTTTCCATGGTTTTCTCCTTCGCTTCCCACATCTCAACCAATTCTCGTTGTCGCTCCATGACTTGGTCCAAAATAGTACGACTGCTGTGCTTGCGCTGGGCCTTTGAGGCCTTCACTTCCGCTTCGTGCGCGACCAGTTCGGTCTTGATCTTGTTGAAGCGTTCCTCGTGACCATATCAAAAGGAAAAATCCCCCCTCCCCATATTGACAAGGTACGTTGTCGAAAATTTGCGTTGCTGATTTGCGACCACAAATCGTCTCTGTGTTGCATGCAGGCAACTCCACAGGCTCAGCCGCATTCTACAGGCGCTTTGTCATGCTCATGCTCCTACAGCGTATAAGCCTGTCACGCAAAGCGCCTAGGCCACAACCTGTGCCTGTCTTCTCAGGCTTGATATTGGCCTGCAGTCCTCGCCAGCAATATAAATCTGATTTGTGTACGCAAATCCAGCATCAGAAACTTCGTTTTGATATGGGGAGGGGGGATTTTTGGTTCTGATAGACCATTGGAGGGAATGGTACCATCCTCGTGCACCCGCCTCTTTTGCTCCTCGTCCATAGCCCGCAGCGCCGCCTGCTGATTTTTCTTGCGCAACCCCTCCGCCAATCGAATCGCCTTCTGCCACAGCTCCACGCGTCGTTTCCGCTCGTCTTCCATCGTTTTCACAACCTAGTTGATGTTCATGGTTCGGGATGTTTCGAATACGTATTTATGAGTATCGTGACAACAAGCAGAACTCACTCCTGCTACTGGGCGAGGCGTCTCGCGCTACCGAAAAAATAAGATCGACGGCGGATCAGCTTTTTATTTGGCCTCCGCCTTGGCTTGCTTTACTAATACTAGCGATAGCACCGGGTTCGAAGGAAAAAAATGCCAATCATGTTGGCTATGCTCCTCGTAAGGAAGTGGCGTTTCTATCACAAAAATGATCAGAGCGGCTGCATTTGCTGATCCTGATCAGTCGGTGCATTTCTTCTGTAAGAACTTGAAATTGTGCGCCATCGTCGTCTTAAGGTTGATGTTCTACCTGGCTTTTTCTCTCCTCCTTGATGGTATCCGACTTGCGCTTGCGCTCCTGGATCTCCTTGACGTGTTGCGTGTGGGCGCAGTCCTCCTGCGCGTGAACGTGGCCGCCGCCAAAATCGCAATGGGTGGTGTTCTATCAACTGCAAATAGTGCCTCTTGGTCTGCTGGAAGCATGTTGCAAGTGGACCTGGTCCTGGATGAATGGAAATGCTGAACTTGTTCGATCTTCCATCGCTCATGTCGGCGATGGCAGTCGCACTGCTCGTGTCAATATGCCGAGGCAGCCCTGTTTCTCACACGTGTTACAACGTTTACGTTCTACTACACCGCAAGAACCGGCGGTCCACAATTGATTTGTTTTGCATCTCAGCTGATGAGTATTAGTTTTAATTTACACATCTGCACCACCAGTCTGTCCCAGGAATTGGTTTATCGTGGTCATTCACATGTTAGGATGACAACTTTCGAGACCCAGACAAATTTACAGAGGATACGTTCTCCGGGTGCACCGCACGCTTGCGCATCCAAAACTCCGGATCGTCCACGTAGGTGGCATCGTTCGCCTATCATGTGCAAAAACTTCCCTAGCCCCCAGTTTTGTCGTGCTGTTTTCTTCTTGTCATCCAAATTTGCATGCTCATAATCGCATTCATGCGCAGGGGCAGGCCAGGCCAGACATGTTGAGAAGCATGATTGGAAATTTTCTAGTAACGATCTTTCAATGGTCGCATGCTCATTTATCAGGATAAGGTGATCGAGTTCCTTTCTGGCTCTGGCAGTGACACAGGCTAAGCTCGTACAATACACTCACTGCCAGTCGTCCGAGCTTGTCATGCGCAACTGCCATATCTTGCTGACATCATGTGTAGCAAAGTTCCCAGAATCTTGATGACTATGGGGTGGCGGGCATCGATTTTACTCAGGATATCACCTCGATGTAGACGTCGCAAGGCTGGAACACCACCTGGCAGACGCGGTTCTTGATCTTCTGGATCAGCTCCGCATCGGGGCTATGCAATGCAAGTATGTCTGGGTTTGTAATGTGATGCTGAGCTGCGTGTGAGTCTAAATCACCCAAAAATCTGTCTCGAAAAGTAGGCAGTAAAAAGCACGTGTTTTTTGTCTCCCGATGAGAGCATTTCTCATTCGCGCGAGGCATGGAGAAGCCTCCGAGAATTGTGTCCTGCTTTGGCTTTGCCTTTGTGTGCATTCCAGATCCAGACCTTGTTGCAGGTCTAAAAAATACATGGCGCGCCACTACTTCTTCAGTCCTTCAAACTCAGACATATTTGCTCTGGATAAGGGCAGTTCTTCGGGATGCACAACACGCAGGCGGTGTGGTAGCTGTGGGTCTTGTTCCCTGGCCGCATGTCCTGGATCGCCTTCCACGAATAGGCCCCCCAGGTCGCAATACCCTGCTCCGCCAGGGCCTGGGTCTCTTCCGCAATCACATCGTGCGAGGAATGCGTTTCCGGACTCACACCCGACTTGTGCACCTGGTTGTACAATAACAATCTATTGAAACAAGACAAAGGCTTCTTTTTCAAGTATTTACGTTTCTTTGATCGCTGCAAAGTACAGAAAAAAATACCATTAATAGCCGCGTCCGCGGAGGTAGTGAGGTCATGGCGGTCTTTTTGTCTTCACGCCAAAAAAGACGCAACTTCTCCGCCCGCCATGCCGTCGTGGGTAATGTTATGCACGACGGCACGGCGGTCGCTAAAAATCTCGATCCAGAGCTGGCCTCCATTTGATTTAGACACAAAAAACCTTCCCCGCATGCTATGGCCCCACCTGGGCCAGCCCCTTGGGCGCCCCGAATCGGGCCCGTGGCATGCGGATTGGCTTTCAGATTTTTGCGCACTTTGCTTCTTTGGGTTTTTTTTGTTGAAAAGTCGCATCTTCTGGCCTTCAGTCCGCCTCTGAAATGGCAGATCTTGGCGGCGTCTTTTGCGGGGCCCGAATGTGGGCCAAAATGAGGCCCATAACATGCGGATTTGCTGTTTTTTTCGTGCTGCTGCTTTTTGGGCGCCCCTTTTTGGGCGCCCCAAATCGCCAGAAACCAAGGCGGTGGGCGCCTCAGAAGGGCGCCCCTTTTGGCGGCTCCCTTGCGTCGTTTTGTCAAGCGTGAATCGATAGAATCCGCTCGCGCTTGTTTGACAGCAAGGCCCCGGCCGCTTGATAAATGGAAATCTTTTATGTCCAAAAACACTTCCGCACGCTTGAAAACTGCCGGTCGTTTTGCGTAATGCATGGCAAAAAAACCGCTAGATTAGAACGTTCGTGACCTCACTACATATGATTCGGTGAACAGAAAGAAGTACTACGAATCGGAGGGCATCTGCAAAAGAAAACGAAAAGCACGTAGACGCCCACAGACAAGATGAAAAAGGAAAGAAAATAAATGAAAGACAAGTCAACATCTTCACTCTTCATAAATTTAAACATCCTCTGTCTACTTACCGTCACTTTATCCGCAATCTTGTCGTAAACGCAGATCAGAAAGTGTCCGTGATCTTGGTCTATCAAGTGCAAATACGTCTACTGGGTCCTCTGGAAGATTGGAGGAATTTGTCACGCATACCCGACTGCACCACATCGAAAACCTTGCACCGTCGCCGCAAGCAGCGTCGGACGCAGGAGATCTCTCTTCCTTCGGACTGTCTCTGATGCATGCCCTAGCATTACAGGTTTCGCATAGACTTTCTCAATCTCATGCCTATCCTGCCTGAGAAATGAAATCTCCGGCAAGCAAAAATCTGAGTGCCATTTCTTTGCTGCTGCTCATGCAATACAGGTTTTCGTAGAACGATCACAAATTTCATTTTTTCCAGACCCAGCAGACATATTTGCAATGGATACGGTCTTTCACCACGGACTCCCAGGCCAAGTGTGCGTCGCCCATCATAGTCAAATCCCCTGACTGAGAGCCGCGAGCCTTAACTATCGGCGCCATGCTGTTGATATTAGTTGCCTGTCAGAATCAGAAATCGGAAGATCAGAAACTCTGACAGTTCTTTGCTCTTCCGCGCGTCGTGCTGGTATTGGTTGTGGAGCAAGGGATTGCAGTCTTACGCTTAAAAATGCGCCGAAACGCAACGCCTTTTGGTTTAATTTTTTACACAAAATCGATAATGAAAAGTTGTAAAACAAGTGAATATAGCTGCTCGATGCAGCAATAGGTGAATACTAAAGGCGGGAGGGGAAACTTCAGTCGACACGCAAGGGCAACGGGGAAACCCTATGTCAACTTAAGCTGTTCTTCAAAAGATTTGTTTTCATCATTGTGGTACTTCTTTTTGCACGAACGATGATGAGACAGGCACGTATCAGACGATGATGAAGCAGAACGATTTTTAATACGTACCGAAAGTTAGTTGTGATTGCTGCACGACCGAAGCCAGTAGTTCTGGGAGATGCGGATGTGCATGACAATGCGGACGCCTTTGGTGCACGTACCATTTCTACCAATCTCAAAATTTATCATTCTAGCGCCTCGCGCACTTTCTAAACGATTTTTGCACGACCTAAAAAGCTTACACTTATCAGTAGTTCTTTTAACCGAATAAATGCACGACCGACACAATCATGGCGGCTCTCGAGAAAACGAGAGCACCTGCAACTACGGCAACCCTTCCTCGGGAAACCGGTGAATCGTCATCACGGATAGCGATAAAGTCATGTCTTCATGCATCATCTCATAGTTGGAAACTTTGGGCCACCGAATTGTCATCACGGATGTAATCAATCTTGTCTTCATCATGCAGCATAGTGAAGAACGGGCAGGCTTTAGTGTGCTTAAGTATGCGCCGCGCTATTTCAACATGACGAGGACAGCCAGAACCGACTCGATGCAATCAATAGATGAAATCGACAACACCAAAAAAAAAAAAACATAAGAACAGCACAATTGAATACCAACGTGTGGACGAAAATTCAAGTTCTTGAGAGTGCTATATATAACATTTTTCCGTTGCTGAGATGTTCGTTTGCGAGGAGCTTGAGTGATTTACTTAGAGTCACTAGCGGGGACGATCCGCGGCCACGTTGCTGCACTATCCTACTCAGGTGGCAGCCCCGCCCGCCGCCCCCGGCCCGGCTATTGAACCAGCAGACTGTGCCATTTGCTCTCGCTGTGCGTCTGCCAATCGCTGGTTGAAGAGTTCTTTGTATTTCCCCGGCTTGTCGACATACTGACGCAGGTAATCCGATAGCCACCCAAGTATGGAAGCGTCAAATTGAAAATCGACAAAATGAAAATGGATGTATGCAACTACGCATGAAAAGAAATGCAACACACACAAAATAACGTTTGTACTGCTCTGAGGGCAACTGAGCGAGGCAGAGTATAAGCATGACTAGGCTCACTCATGGATGGGATTGGTGCTGAAGAGCATGACAACAGCCCTTGCCTTGGCTCCTAACGCTAACAGCTCGACAGATTCATTGGCCCTGCATGTCTAGAAAATTTGCGATACATCGCTTAGAGCATGGAGGGCAACACCTGGTATTACTTCTATGCGTGACAAATTAATTATTTGTATTTTAACGACATCCATCCTGACAGTCCCATACGAAGGGGATCAAACTTGGTGTCTTCGTCCTCCTGAGCGCCTGCATCTTCCTCGTCCGTTACTTCTACCTTATGACAAAAGAGACGAGAAGTCAGTCGCAGGAGATACAAAGGAGAGCTGGCATTTTGAAAAAAACGCTTTGTCCAAAAAAGAAAACACGTCGCCCCTTATTCTTTTTCATTTTCATTTTCTTTTCCATCGGTCTAGATGGGAATTGGAGGGGCTAGCCACGTCCTCGACCCCTAGCTTAGCAAGGCGCCTGTGTAGATCTTCTATGTGCGTGATTCATCTCCCGCCTTCAGCACTGTCACAGTTTCTCGTAAGATAGTTGTAGCGTATTTTTGTTTATTACTAGAGAGCGACAAGCTCCGAGACCCGAAACACCATTCGCGAAAGTGATGGCAAACCGCGCAGGTTCTGCCTGCGCGGCGCATCAAGTCTATGCATGACCTTATTGAGAACCCGAATCACAAGGGCACTACCCGTGGCCAGCCGGGCTGGTTTCGTTTTGGAAAGTTCAGGAGGTGGGCAAGCAGCTACATTTAGGGTCCCAGAGTGTCCACCCCTTCCCAAGAAATAGTAGAGGTTCAGTACGAAGTCCGAAGTAAGACATGACCAGGAAAAATAAAAAATTACAAACGCTAAAGAATTCTTGGCGTAGAAAATACTGATCGTGGCTGCAGTGGTGTGTCTGCGCCTCCGAGTGGCGGAAGTTTGCCTTTCTCTTTTGCTACGTGAAGGAGCGCTTCCAGGCCGGGCGTCAGGTGTTGCATGCACACGGCGTTCACGTACCTTGTAGAAATAGTAATCCATCGATAGACAGTTGCAACATCCACGACTTTCACTAACACTAGAGGGAGCAAGTTATGGGAACAGAATCATCTTCATCTTGTTGAGGACTCGGATAGCCGAAATGCATTAGCATTTATCCGCTATATATTCTTTTTCTTAGAGTGACATCAACGGGGATGACACGACACAGGCAGATGGTGATGCCGTTATTCGATTCAGATGCCGCTTAATGGCAAGAGCAGGGCAAGCCCATCGAATATTGTTAGCGCCTGCCGCTAATGTTTGATTAGTGAGTTCTGGAATCTAAATCTATACACATAGAACCGGCACAGGTAGCTGAGCAAGCTTTCTGCCTGTATTCTGTGTTAGTCATTCATTATCTAGTACTTTTTTGTACCCTCTCGCATCGTGCTCTGGGTGTGGTATTTCCGGCTTTTCTGGCTCCTCCACTGCAGCACCTGCATCAGCGAGAAGAAATTTCAAACTGCTACCCAAGTTCGCCGCGGCACCCGTGGCGTCCTCCCCCTCTGCAGGAATTGGGTCTTGCTGGGCGGATTCCATAGTGTTGTTCTTCAGTACGTATGTGGAGCTAGCCTTGTGCTGGCCCGCCGAACAAGAAACTAGGCAAACAAGAAGACTTACTTGGCCTAATCAAATGTGTATACAATTTATCCTTCTTATCAAGTTCAAGTCGGTTTTTTCGCAGCTAGAAGCCAGTAGTATCTGCTTCTGCATCGTGAAGAACAAGTGCAAGAAGAATGAGTAGACAAGTGCGGCGGATTCCGAGAAAAAAGATTCTCTCACGATCTCCTGCTCGTCAAACTCAAGCTACTCAGCACACGACCTCCACTCTGCATGTTGATACTCATATGTGATTGTCGGTCCGTTTAGTACAGCGCCGCATCTACTTTCTGCTTCATTATTTTTACTTCTGGACTTGCCGGAACCACGACGAGGTCACACAGTCGCGGTTCTCGCCGCGTACACGACTGCAACTTTCGCCTTGAGGAAAGCAACAAACGAGCGACAAGAGGTAGAAGTACTACGTGCAACTTGATGGTTTGCATCGACGAGGAATCGGTGACGCCCCCCTACTGCTGTTGCCAGCTAAGTTAGTACTACATGATCTCGGTTTTCGCACGTAGTACTCGTGATTATAGTTCACGACTGAGGCGTCTGGTGGTGATGGCGCATACTCTATATCATAATAATTCACGACCAGAGCACATTTATCACTAAGGTGATGTGTGGCTCAGATACAAAAGAAAAAACACAAGAGCCTGTTTGTCGTCATACTACTCATACTCAATCTCAATCGCAGCAAACGTATTGCATTAGTTCTGGTGCCTGTAGATAGACAGGCAATTGATCGACTGTGAACTTTCGCTTCACAACTTTGGACGACTTTCCCTGATTTAGATTTAATTCGTTCCGAGGCGGACCACCTCCTGCAATGGTGGTGTCGCGCCAGATCTCGTGTTGTTTCTTGGCCTCTGCTTTCCGGCGCCGGTCCCGTGCGTGCATTTTGTCGAAATCGGGGGCCAGCCCCCGACGCTTCCTATAGTCGCCCTTGGGTTGCTGGTAATACCGTTCGTGCAGGAGGTTCTTCTCCGTTGCAAAGAGCGCATCATCTGGGCGTGCGACCCACGCTCGTAGGACTCGGTCCGACAGCGCTGAAGTCTCGTAATCCCTGCCGCAGCGAAGGGCGAAGTCCGTCACCGGAGGGTGCGCATGCAGCCGGTGATTTTCATGTCGAAGGAGCTCATTTTGCACTTCTAAAAATTTCAAGCGCCGCTGCCGAGCTTGAAGGAGGCGCGTCATCTGCTTGTCGTGACAAGTCGCCTCAGGGTGCGGATCATGCAGTGTGCCGAAACTTCCTGACGTTCTGCCACGAGATTGCGGTCGGTAGCGCAGATAAGCGCCCTTGCCCATAGGGCGCCCCATGTTTTTGCGCCTTCGTTGCGGGGCCAATGTGCTCCGAACAGCAGGGTTGTTTTCGAGCTGCTGCTGCGTAGAACAAGAGGTAGGTATTTGTTCTCCGCGTGGTCTTGGCGAGGGAGAGCTGTTTTGCTGACGAGTGAGTGCAAACGACCGGCGCGAAGGAGAGCCTCGAATCCATTGCTGCGCATCCATAATCCGATCGTGCATCAAGTGTTCGACTGCACTTTGGGTGAAATCGGCGTCTTTAGCATTATTTGTCACAGCGACGAGCCCACTACTCATCAACGCCGCGGGTGGCGGAGAACCATGGCGGCCAAGGTGGCCCGTCAGGGAGAGCGAAAAGGTGCGACAAGATGCGGACGAGCTCGTCATGATGTCAATCTGTGCCTCTGATTTTGGATTTAAGTTGCCTTTCTTCTCAATTTAGTGCCCCTCAATGAAATAAACTACTATGTATGCAAACATAATTTTCATCGCGTCGTCGAAGATTCGTTGAACTTCTACCTAGCAATCCTGCAATGCAAATTGTAGTGCCTGCAGCAGGACGAGCACCATGACGCGGAGCAAAAACCTGTAGAGAGCTTTGCGTTTCTGTTTCTTGACTACGGACGGGTTGTCATAATTCTTCACCATCTCATCATCGTCTTCACTCGTCCATCTGCGAAAAATCTCCCGACATCTCAAGCACGCCCACTCAAAACCATAAGTACCGCTCGGACAATGGCACTCGCAGTTTTCTTCAAGACGAATAAATCCAGGTGGCCACAATTAAAATTAGACAACACCTGCCCACCCGGACGACGAGGACCAACAGAGACATTCGAAGGAGGTCAGAGTTAATTTTTCTATACTGGTATTTTTGACGCGAAGTATTTCGCACACTCACACTCAGAGCAACTGCAACGAGGAACTGGCAATCGTATTTTAATCTTAATATTCGGACATGTCACGATATTTTTTTGTAAACTGCTACTGCTCTGTGTCTGTCGTTCGTCTTGCTTTTCTATACTCCAACAGCGTCCCATTCAGGACTCAGGCACCAGAGGTAGTAAACGAACAAAATCATTGCAAAATACAAGGTGGCGACTTTATTCCACCGGGCGAAGCCATCGCCATGGCCCGTGTCTCCAACTCCATCGTGTAGCGCGGCACATTGCCATTTCTTTGTCGACCAGTCCGCAAAGAAAAGCGAAGCCTGGAATTCTTCTTGGAAGCTGTAATCTGGAAACGGTTGCTTTTGTCTTTGGATAATATTCAACTACGTCAACTCATCTTACATTCATACGTAGGCAAGCAACACAACGGCCTACTTACTTAGCGTCTGCGATGTCTGCAGTTAAGGGATGTAGCCTGTCTTTATTATTTTTGTTTAGATCTTTTTCTTTGGTTATCCTACAAAAGTACAGCTTGGGACTTGAAAGCTGACGCATCGCGCGAACGCGGGTGGAGAGGCACCGACCTGAAGGAAGCGAAGCCGTGCCTTTTTGCAAGGGGAAGACGAAGGCGAAGTCCGCCTGTAAAACTTCGGCGCCCCCCCTTCGACGAAGAAGATCCTGGCTGTAAGTGAGTGTGAGGGCTACAACTACAAGTAAAAGGTCCGAAATGGAGATGTGGCGAGGAGTCGAGTGATTTAATGTAACTGTTTTCTATCCACACAAAATTTATCCTCCTCCTCCAAAATGCCATTTTTTTCCATGCAAAAAAACGAAAAAAACGACATCAATTTCAAAAAATTTTGTAGTCTTCCTGCAATATGCATGGCAAAATCATGTGGCTATCGTCGCCATGTTAGAAAACCCTACGTACTTAGTGCCCCTTCTCTATGTTAACTAGCTCGAGTTTCTGATAGGTTTTGCATACAGGAACCCAGCGCCACCATCGGAGGCAGCTCTTCCCGGCTGAGCAACGTCGCTGGCCCCAAGCCATGTCGCAACGCTTGATGCGAGAGTGCGAGAAAGCGCTTCGTCATTCAGAAGGAATACGCAGAGCAGCTGGCTCGGCGTCGGCCCTCGAGGCGCTTCGAGCGAGTCTTGGAGTTGATTCACTTTTGGGCCCCCTAGACTGTGCCACGTCCAATCCCAGAATTTTGCGACTTATGTGACTGCACGCACAACAGTAAATATCCGCCCTGCGGGTCCGCGACCGCGCATCTGCAGGCGCCGCGCCTCGCCTGCGATAGCTCGCTGACGAGGACGGACACAAAACAACTCCAAGAAAAAAAGGTCCCGGGGTTGGTCGAAAAACTTGCGTCAGCTTTCTTTTTTTGGTTTTTTCGAGCCGAAAACGAGATCGCTTTTGGACTGGAGGATAAATTTAGCACGACCTAACGGCCTTCAGAAAATTTCTCCTCCACTTGTTTTTCTCGATTTTCTTTTAGAGAAAGTGCGGAGGAGAAATTTTTTGAAGGCCGTTAGGTCGTGCTAAATTTCTCCTCCAGCTGAAAAGTGGACTCGTTTTCAGCTGTGAATTTGCCATGAGAAAAAAGTTGGCTCAACCTTCACCAACCACTCCTGCAGAGATACGGCCACGGCTAAAAGTGGCGACGTTGCATCACCGCATCAATTTTTCCCAATCAATTCCCAGGCCCCTCCCTCTCCTCTCATGTCGCCACACGATGGCAGGGCGACATGGAGACCGCTCTGTGGAGCGTAAAATGCAAGCCGGTCGCTTTCGTGGCACTCCGGCGCGTGCGGGCAAGACCACACCAGTCCCTGCTGCAAGTCCTGAAATCCGAGATCCCCGAGGACGAAATTGACTACCAGACTCTGGCTCCCAAGCTTTTTGAAGACGAGATGACAAGCGAGCCGCTTGTCGCGACGCTTGATGGGGCCAGAGGGCATCACCAGACCCAGTCGCGGATGTGCAGTCTCGATGCGGCGTCGTCCACCTACACCTACCAGAAACTGTAGCTAGTTAAAATGGGGCACAACTAAACAAACACATATTAGAGAAACTCACACACATGAGATCAGCATGCGCTTCGTGGTCATACCTGAGTTTTTTTTTTTTCGATGCCTGAACTTTTGGTATTTTTCAATACAAAAAAAATGCGTTTTGGAGGAGGAGGAGAAATTTTCGGTGGATATTTTCAAAAACCTGATCTATCTTTGAAAGAAACAAATCCGGAAAAATGGCTCGCTGGGCCACCTCAAAATGACCCGAAAACGCGCAAGACCAGATCTTCTGGGGCTGCGCCATCTCCTATCGCAAGATCACAGAAACTCCATAGAGCTTGCCATTCTCCTATGTGTTGCGCGGAAGAACAAAGAGCAGGGGGCTGATTTCCCTCTTTGGTATGATATCTGTGATGTGCCACATCGATGGAGGACCCAGCTTTATTCCCCGGGAGGAAGGTCTATATGGCATCTGTGCGCGGCTTCCTCGTCACTACCACGGCTGGTGCTGCCACATCAATCGAGGAAACAGCTTTCGGGGGAAAGGTTGGGCGGTGGTCCTTGTTCTGGTTGTTATCAAACATGTCCACGATGTTCACTACTGTGGTCATTTTTACCGCCGGCCAGAACATCGCTGCGCCACCAAATTGCGTCCTGCAGAGATTGCACACGCAACTTCAAGTGCCATCGCGAAGTCTCCGCTAAGGACGTCGCTATCCTCCGCAAAAGTATCGCGCTCGTCCCAGGTAATTGCAGTCCTGCAGCATCTTCACAGCCACAGATTGTGATTGACTTTTCTACCCTATCTAGCATCACAAGTTCAAGTTGCAATTTCGTTCGAGGAAATTCGTAATTCGATGTCGTGTACTAGTTGCGCGATGCTTTTGAAGTGCATAGTCGCGCTGGAGCTACTACTTCTAGTACTCGTCGTCCCAGAGCAAGGAGACCTTGTTTCAGTACCCAACATGTCCCATGCAAAGATGTCTGGGTCTGGAAGTGTTGTGGAAATGATTTCTGGAACAGGTAGAGTTCATCTGAATTGCTTCGCGAGCAAAAGGTGCTATTACGCGATTTTTGTCTCGTCCACGGAAGTGAATTATGTTCATGCTGGTTTGGTATGGAGAAGCCTCCGCAGTCGCAGAATTCGCCAAGCCCTGTGCGGATATGCAAAAACTGCATGGCAAATGTATTTTAGTTTTTGATGTTTTCTTGCAGACCCAAACATATAAACATTTATTTGATACAACATATCGTCGTCTTCTTCATCCACTCGACCTTCGTCAGCTGTCGTGTCACTTTTCTCCGCGGAGGTGCTGCCGAAGCCGCTCGTCAGTTTTCCTTTGTCAATCTCCATTCTGTCCAGCACCGGGAAGAGCAGGTCAGGGTTCTTAGTGGCCGATTTGGTCAGCACTCCTTCCGCTAAAATGTCCCGCGCACAGATTCTTTCCAAAGTTTTTTTGTCTTGTTCGTTGTTTTTCGTATCTTCCGTTAACCCCAACGCGGAGCGGTAAATTCTCCCGAGCAAGCTCTTGTCCCTTGCAAAGTCTTCGCACGAGTACTCCGCCCACTTTGGTAGCCCGTTGGAAGAAAACAAGTGGTAAGCCGTGCGGGTCAAGGCGTTGGGAACGTCCACTTTCTCACCATCCATTCTCACCACCTGGTTGTCTTTTCCCGGCACCAAATTTCCCCCTATCACGTCCGGATACAGCGACGCAAAGCCCTGCTCGGGCTTGAAGCAGGCAACGATCCCCTCGAGTTTTGTTCCACCGTCGTGGTGCTTCTCTTCACCTGATGCGCCACCGCCTGTTGCTGGTTCTCCGGGCAGCCCGGTATTGGTTGTCAGGTATTGTGTCAGCTTCTCAGTAACTGGGGTGGAGGATAGGTATGTGGATTTCTTTCCCAACGCCGAAACTAACAGAGTGGGTTCTTCTTCTTTGGCATCACCTCCGCCATCTATTTTATCTTCTTCGCTTTGGCAACCAGTCGCCGGGTCGTTGCTCCCCTTCTTCGTGTATGATCGTGTGAAAAAACTTTCCCACCCCAGACGAGTCAAGATTTTGCTGCTTACACAAAGACAAACAAACAACTGAACTTGAAGTAAGTAGCCGTGTCTAGCTAGCGCCCTTGCACATTCACAAATCGAGCACCTCCAGATCCTCGCTCTAGCACGTCAAACCCAACCCCCACACTGGATTAAAAAACGCTTCTCATGTGGTGGCTGCGCTGCATCGGACATAGTTACTTACATTTTCGGCATCTTGCAGCAGGAGGTTTTGCGTGACAATAAATGCGGGGTACAGGTGGAGACGTTTTTACAGTGGATATCACCACGTTCTTGGCAATCAGTATCCGTAGCGGGTCAGTAGCGACTTCCGGCGGAATTTCGAATTGCTTCAAAACTTCCTCCCCCGCGGCGGTCAAGGAAAGCTTCGGCCCGATGTGCTCGTGACTGCCGGTCGCGATCCCCTCCCCCAGCGCCCCCCACGCGATGTGACACTCCTTTGTCTTGTCTTTGCCGGAGCAACAAATGTCGTTGCCCTTCTTGTCCGGCTCCTCGCAGGGGTTGTTCAGCGCTTTCCTCTGCAGATCCCGGGTATGAAGGTGCACAACTACAGCTTCACCCCGCGTCTCATTGATTTGAAGGAGCGCAATCGGACAAAAGTAAGAACATGAACACGCAACATGAACATTTCTGCACCTGCAGTTTCGGTTTCCGCAAGTATGTGAGATATCAATTTCTGCTGCATGTCAAATGAGGGGAAAGGGGGAGGTGTAGTGCACTCTCATACCACACTATCGAAGGAAAAAAGAACTATGATACAATTAAAAACTTTAACTTTTGCTGCAACTCCAGCAACACAGCAACACAAAGTTGCTCTGCATGACACAGAAAAATTGCGATGCGGAAGCGTAGATCAGAAGGGAATTCACGCATGAAAAGAAGGTCGCAAGCCTGTTCATCGGCATCGCAAAGGTTATATGTCTTGCTTGTCAGCCTGCAGCACAGTGTGTAACAGTAACAGTTTTCCATCACGATAAAAACGCGCTTCATCCACATGCTGTACCGCGTCGCACCTTGAAAGTTGGAGGAATACGATGGCGGGTACTCTTTCCCACTAGAAGACTCCGGCGCCGCTATGCATTGCAAACCCAAACGTGCGATCGTAGAAAATTGCATAACATGATAGGAGATCTACGATAAGTTCGTCTCTTACTCTTTGCCTTCTCTAGGCCTACTAATAACGACGTCTCACGTCGACTCAGGGAAGACCAAATCACACAGCGGCCCACGCAGCAAGGTTGCAAAGAAACATACTGCTCCCACTAGTATGTATACGACTACGATATTACGTTTGCATGCACAGCGTAGCCGCACGCCCTCTGCAGTACTGATTGTCATACTCGTAGGCGAAGAGCTCGATGGGAAACGGTAACGGACTTCCGGTCCACTTCTTCCCTTGCTTTTTATTAATACTTGCGGCTTTCTTCTTTTTTGCTTTTCCAGCTCTTTCACTTTGATGTTCTTTTTTCTCTACGGAACTCTTGTGTGTTCCTGCATTCTCGTTCTCCTCCAGCTCCATCGCATGTTTACTTTTTTGATATGCTTTTCTCGGCCCCGCCGGTTTCTGTTTCGCTCGGCGGGCCGCTTCGAGTTCTTCGTTCTTGAGGTGCTGGGGCTTTTTTCTTCGACCTTCAGCTTTCTTATCCTGTTCCTTGCGGATTTTCTTTGTGAGAAAATTCTTCCAGACGGGAGGAATTGCGTCCTCGTCCTGTTTCGTCTGTAAAAACAGGGACTGTTCTTGCAATGCAAATTCTTCCCGCCCTGCTGCCAGTGCCTCCAAGATGTTGCCATGCAACGGGCGCTGTAGCACGAAGTCGCCATCCAGGTAGATCCCGCCCTGGTGGTAAAGTAAACCGTACCTCACCAAGTCCGATTTCGCAGCAGGGTAGGGAAGCCGGAAAAATTCTTGCGGCATGTCCGGGACCCAGTTCTTTACGGTAGCGTCGGTAATTTGAATGACGCGGGGTTCGACCGTCTCCGATTGCAGGTACAGAAGCCAGGTTTCCACGTTTAGAGGAAAGGAGCGAAGAAAGTGCTTTTTTGTGTCCGGCTTGTCCGGGTCGTCGACGTAGTAAAACACGTTCAGTCTTCTCTTCTTTTTGGTTTTTTCCCTGCCTTCTTCCAGCAAGCCCACACTGCTGGGGCTCCTGCTGTTGGTCAGCGAATCGGAAAAGTCGTTTTCATCTCCACCTTTGCCGCGAGCGGATGAGAAGGAGCTTAATCTTGGCGCCGCAACAGCAGCTGCGTCAGCTAACGCGTCCATGTTCTTCACGTCTTGAAACTGGGAATGCAATAATTTGTTGGAGGTGGTGGACCACGTAGAGCTCGACGACATGATAGAGGTTGCGGCACTACCTTTTCCCCACGACCCGGCGTCCTTCTTTCCACCAGTCGTGACCGCAAAGAAGATATGTTTTGAAGATCCTCGTCCGGGCCCCTCGCTACGGGCTGTCACCTCGGCTTCCAGCCGCCGGTGTCCGCGCTTCAAGCACTCACCATTTTTGTTCGGCTTTGCGACGTCATCCCCCGCGGCGTAGACGTCCGGCCCAGGCTTGTGGTGCGCGATAATCCGGTCGCAAGCGGCATTTTTTTGCATCTTGTCGCAGATGCCGAACCAGCCGGTCTGGTAATTCCACTGACAGCGGTCAAGCGAGAGAAACTTCACGTCCCCAAGGGGTACATTTGCTCTCTGATACGCTTGTTGCACGGTGGGGTTTTGCAAATGCAGAAACAGGGTGAGGAAGTATCCCTGACCGCATTCTGCGTCGACAAAATAGCGGGAACTTCTACCGTTCTTCATCTTTATCTGGTGCCCTGACGAAGCTGTAGCTGAGGTCACTGATAGAGATGCCTTTTTGTTGCTGCTCTTCCGGAGGTCCACCCTTGTCGACTCGAGCAACTGGTGCCCCTTCTGCGTTGGCGCGTGCCCCTGGTCGTCCTGCGGGCTCCAACCGCTGTTTGCCCAGCCAGTTTGTTCGTTGTAGTCGGCGAGTTTGGAAAATTCCAATGCCAGATCCAGCAGTTTCTGTCTCGGTTTCAGCGCAAAAAAACCGACATTAACCGGCTCGTTTAACCCACCTGTCGTCGTGAGGAATACGTCTTGCTCCGCCACGCATTGGAAGAGCGCAAGCAAGTTGTCCCCGGACGTGTCCTGGAGCTCGACGTCGCGATCGTAGTAGGCGATCGCGTCGTAGCTGGTTTCTCCGAAGCTGTTCAACCGGATGAAGTCCTTCTCACACCCTTTGTTATAATCGGATTTCGCATTCGCTGGTACGCCAAAGGGAACTTTTTTCACCACCAGGCTCGGCGCGACTCGCTGCAGCTCCGTCTGCATGTAGGACGTGTGCCGGTTCCACCACTCTGCAGATTTTTCCGGCTGGTAGCGTGGGAGCGCGACATAGAGCAGGATGTCGATTTGTGTGTTCTTGTTCGCTTTGCGCATGACACCAAGGCGGGCTAGTTCCATGCTGCGCAGGTTGGGAAACATCTCCTCGACCCAAGCTGTTGACTTTCCCTCCGGCGCCGGCATATCGCCACTGTGTGTGAGTACGAAAGTATATCTGCGCGGGCGGTTGTTTTCGTCCTCTGTTTTTCCCGCGCGATTCGCATTCGCCGCAGCGCATTTATGTACGTCGAGGCACCGGGAATGGTAGGTAAGATGCCCGTAGACGGTGGCGCCTGGCGGCGCCTCGGAGGCCGGCCCGACGCAGCAGCCCTCGCAGAAGGGCGGCGGGGAGAGAAACCGACTGACAGAAGAAGATGTGAAAAAAGGCAACAAGGCAGCTGGGTTGGTCTTCATAATGCGCACTTTTAGATCGGCTGTGGTGGATTTCTCTTCGCTTTCATGTGATGAAGATAATGTCCCTTCTCCGGCTTGACCAGTCGAGATGCGCAGTGACAAATCATTTTTTTTTGCCTTCTCTGCGCCTCCTCTCTCCATCGTCCCTGTGGTCGACAGCAGACCGGCCGCGGACGCAGTCGCCTGTTCATCGTCATCCTGGCGTCGGTACACGAAAGAGGTGCTGGAAGTCTTCCTTGTTAGCGCAATGGAAGTACACGACTGCGGTAGCTGCCGGTCATCATCCTCCTTAAAATTCCCCCCCGGCTCCTTTTTTGCCGTGATACTTCTGCACACCCCTAAGGCAGCTCGCGTTTCCTCCTCGAGCGGCTTTACTAAGAATCCCGGCTGGCAGAAGTCCTCAGCGGCAATGTCCATCCTCCCATCCGCGTTCATGTAGTGCACGACGTGGGTCGTCGTTGTTTCATCCCCGTGGCGGCCATCCCCGCCCGTTTCTACTTTGTTTACCGCGGGCGCGGCTTTATCGATGTCAAACCGCGCGCGGTTCCAGAACTGGCCACTCGTCACGAGAAAATGCTGCCGCAATGTGGGAACCGTGTTCTGCAAGCACACCTGATCATTGCTAGTACACGCCACACTGCTCAGTCCCGCGGTTTTCCAGGCCTTGGCGTTTGGGCCGTTTTTGTGCGCCTCAAACACGTCCTTGAAAAGAGTTCGGGTGAAAGGCGTGTTCGAAGCGAGTAGAAACCCGGTATTAACAGCATGGCAGAATTGGTTCGGGTCCCAGCTTCCTTTGTTCTCTTGCTCCTGCCAGTCCTCGTTGGCCCCGAAAACGTCTTTTCTTGCCTCTGCTAGATTCCACGCCGCCAGACCTATTGAGTCGATTGCGGTACTCACCAGAGCAGCATCGGCGTCAAGGGAAAACACGTGCGTAAACAGGTACCGTGCCTGATCCTCTCGTCCTGCTGCGGTTCCACCTCCTGCTAGAGCTGGACTGCTATCTCCTTTACTTCGCAAGTTCAGGTAATCCGCGACCATCAGTTGCTTTTCAAACAGCGAATTCGTCCGCTCGAACTCCTTTACGCAGTCTTCTGCAGATTTCCCGCGACACTGTTCGCTCTCGACCTCCCACTTCTTCAGGCTCGTCTTGCCATCGTATTCATCTGGCGTAAACTTCGTCCGTAAGATCAGCCCGTGGCCAAACTGGCGGAGCACCTGCACGTTCGCGGCGAAGAGCGCTCGAAGCCATTCCGCTGGGGTATTATCCGATGGGTTTTTCCAATCTTGTGGCGCGTTCGGTCCCAGAAACATCGTCAGCACCATTGTAGCTGAAATGCCTGCTTTCGTTTTCGTTTTTTTTTCGTTCTCGCTGTTCACAGGCAACACCAACTGGTCCTTCCGCAATAACCAATCCGGCTGTTCGCACTGCACGGGAAACTTCACCGCATTAGCGTGGAAATTCGCCGGCCAGGGCGCGGGTTTTTTAACTCCGGAAGAAAGGTAGTTCTTGCTCAGATCTTCCTCTGCTACTAGCAGGCCCTCCGGTGAGTCATCTGCACCACTTGAGGAAGCACCGACTGTGTCTGCGTTCGTGGTCGCGCTGTCGTGCTGGAGGAGGAAGTGGAAAGAGTGCTCGCTACTTTCTGTTTCTTTCACGTGGTCGTCGATGCTGCAAAAATCCTTCACCGAGAAAGGGAGTGCGTTGTTCGGAAGTGTATGCCGGGTCCTTGTACGATTGGCTTTCTGCTTGATCACCGCACCAGAATGACCAGGTGAAATACGGGCGCCGGGATCAACTACAGGGACGGAGCTTTGTTGTCGTACTTGCAGTGCCCCCGCCGAGCCCTTCTTGAGCGTTGTTCTGATGTGCACGGCAGACGCTTGGTGGTGCACGAGGACCTGCGTGCCGCTGCCGAAGCGCGCTGGAGAAAAGCAAAACACCCAGGCGCAGATCAGTAAAGAAAGGTTTGCTCTTCCGTCAGGATGGCCACGACCTCGATTTCGATCTGCCGCGGAGAAGACCATGTTCCTGGAACGCAAGCCCTCAAAAATACCCTCAGAAGACGAAACCAAGCCGCGGCGCATTTTGTTTTTTATGTTTCCAAATTGAATCTACTTCAACATCATCGGGGGGAACGGACGAATGCTGTTTATCTATCAACCCCACCTCCACCTTCTGTATCTGCCGCACCTCCTTCTCGCTTCGTCCCTGCCACCCTCCCTCCTCCTCGCAAAAGGCAGCTGCTTTGAACTTGGAGATGTCCTCGTCTCTCTTACTTAGTGACATTCACAACCAAGCAAAAAATGGCTCCACGTCGCGAGCTATAAAGTATTCAGAGGGCACCGAAACCCGGCAACGAGCCCTCTCCTACTCCGGGGGGGGGTGCGAGCTACCTCGTGACAGCCACAAGGGGCGCCACCTAAGTACGGGGACTATCTATTAGACGGACCCAGTCCTCTAAATTATATATATTCGCCTTTGGTTCATGACCCGGCAGCAGTAAGTTCACTTTTTTGGTACAGCCGAACCGTCCGAAGTAGAGACTTAGCGACAGGACCAAGAGAGCCCGCCTGGGAAAGATTTTTATTTTTTTTCTCATCTTTTTCTTTCTTGCAGAGACAGCGCCGCTTCTCTTCACGAAGTAATACCGACTACTTTCTTTCGCCGATCTGTCGTCGCTGTGAAGGGTGTCGTCGCTGCTTGCAAATCTCTTTCGATAAAACTTCTTGCTGAGTTTTCTTTTTCCTTGACCTTCTACTTCTTGCACGACACAATCACACATAAAAAACGCAGACTGCGTTTTTTATTTGATGTGAATACATAGATTTAGATAGGTAACAAAAAAGACGTTAGTTAGTTAGTTAGTTAGTTAGTTAGGGGGGTCGCCCCGCCCTTCGCAGCTCGCACTTCTGATGGTGAGACGCCGCAAAGAACGGTAGAACGGCCAATGCTGCACTTCTGATGGTGCACATGGGGCTTGCCGCCAGTGCGGCTAGGGTTATGTTTTTAGTTCTTATACCTCTTTACTGCTTCTAATAATGCGACAACTGGTGTCAATGGGCGCTGATTAGTTTTATCTCTGTGCACAGCGCCAAATTTCCCAAAAAAAAATATCGTGGGAGGTGGATTGAAGTGTTCTAGGTCGTTCAAGCTTACTTCAAACGGCCTCGATGGTATATCTTCAACTTGTAGGAGTTAGTAGCTTGTTAGACAGCGAAGATGCACAGAAGCCTGCGAGGAAGCTGCTTTTTGCGAGTGTTGCAAAAACATGAATCAGCGACGCGGCTTCTCGCAATTTTCTTTGTCTCTGCATGTAGTTGTAGTGTTATTCTTTCGTATCAAAAGTACCAGCATGATACGTTTCATACGAAAACTGACCTCGCGGAGCCTCCCCTTATTTTTTCCGCAAGCCAAGACGTTTACTTATTCTATGCCTATCCATATGCTGCTGGGGTGCGTGCACGTGCTTCATCTGTGTTCTTCTTTTGCTTTTTCTGTGACTGAGACGTTTTTTGTGTTTTTCTGTCGTACGTCCAAACTTCAAAAACTCAAAAAAATCAAGTTCAAGAGGAAACTCATATATAAAACTGATCGCGTGAGGAACAACAAGAGCAATGCGCTACCAGATGCGAAACCAAACAGATCTGCACAATTTGGAAACAGCCTTCGCCTTTGTGCAGATCCTTCTCTTGTGATCCAGCCGCTATGACTAAAGTTGTGCTGATCATGCAGAGAGCAGCTGCCAGCCTTAGCGATAGTCAGTTGTAGCCGCATTAACGAAAAGAACGTTTTGTCGCACTATCGGCTCACAAAGGCAACTCCGAATTTGTTGATGTTGCTACGGTCGCCAAACACACCAACGAATTCCTCCTGTGGGCGGCAGCGCTTTGTCTCCTCGAAATGATCCAACAAACGCGTCTTCCAAACCATGCACCCGGTCTTCGAGCGCGCACGCTCGTCGGACAAAGCACCTGCACGTAGCGTTTCAGTTCGCCTTGTTTTTGTTCGTTTCTGAACAAATGGAAGTGCGAAAGTGACAACTTTCAACAAGCATCTGCATCACTAAATAATGACAGAGCTCATAATAACAACGGCATGAGCATGATGTTGAAATAAAAAATTAAAAAATGGCATTCTGATTCTTCACTGACTCCTGCTGATCATGGCTAAAATTTTATTTACAAAAGGCGCGCTTGCAGGTTGAGGATGCGCTTGCGACCAGTGCGGGGACTTTGTTTGTGCATCTATGTCGTATTTTATGATGTTTTCTTTACCTTCATAACGAGAACCATTCCACTTGCATTCTACACGGTAGCCGACGTCGTCCCAAACCGTACTGAATTTGTTCTCTTCGTCGCACTTTTCTTCCCGAGGATAGTATGCATTACCAAGATTATGTCTAGGCCTGCGGGAAGGATGTGAACGCCTTGTGAAGTGGATTTTGGAACAGGCAGAGTCAAAAGTCAATATCTATGGCGTCGTCACCAAAAGGTGCGCGATTTTCGTCGCCAGGACATGGCCTGGCTCATGCAGACTAGCAATGAAGTTAGAGAACATGCCGCCGCATAGTTTTAATTTGTCCTGCGTTCCAGTTTTACTTGTTGCAGATGCCAACAATGCATGGCAAGCATCTGCCTGTGCTTCCTTCCAGATCACCCAGACATGTTTGCATTTGATAGATAATTGATTGACTCAATTTGCGTTGCACCGCCGCGCTCTTGGTCCCACGTCAAAATGAGGCCCGACCACTGTGCCTCGGCAGGATTGTCGACGTGGCGATTCAACATCGGGGTACGACGTTCTTGTTGCGGGCCAAGACCTACCGGTTGCGCCGGCTCTTCGTTGCCTCCCACCACCAGGTTGGTCCGCGGCGCCGCAATATTTTCCTGCACTACTACGGCTGCTCGTGCTCGTCTTGAGCTGCGAGGAGGTGGATCATTCACCGGGGACGCCTCAACAGCGTCGTCAGTCTCAGTGCTGTTGATGTCGCTGCGAGTCATCATTCGTCCCTCCTGCAGCTGCTCCTCATCAACAGCCAGCCCGTCCGGCCTATCGAAATTTTTATGAATATCAACATTTGCTTCGTGTGGCCGACTACTAGTTGCGTCCGGAGGACCGGCTACAACTTCCGCGGTGCTAATATCCTCGAATGAAGCAGTTTGTCTTTCGTCGGCATCATCTGTCGTGCTCTCACTGGCACGATCCGGCGACTCCGGCTCGGTTTTGTGAAACCAGCACAGCTTGTCCTTTGTCATTCGAACCGCTTTCAGCACCAGGATGTAGCAGAGCCACTTCGTAAGGTCGTCCTGCTTCTCCGACAGAGACCGCTCCACCTGCTGGGTTAACCCACCCAGGCTGTGCACCGTCCCGGACGGCAGGAGGCCGTTCGTCTCCTGGATCGCATCCGCAATGTAGAGGAACTTGGCGGCGAGCGGAGGCACTTCCTTGCCGTCGAATTGGGGCACCTCCAAAAATTTCGCGGAGACGAACTGCCCGAGGTACTGCCGCAGCTCGCAAATTTTCGCGTCTGCTCGTCGTTGCGCATACTCCTGCTCCACACGACCTCCGCGGACCGCGTGGGTCGGTGCGTTCTGCTGAGAAGAGGGCGGCATGGTACTGATGCAGACGAGCTTCTCGGCCTCACTGGCAGGAGCATTGGCGACATTCCACAACCAACGCAGACTACGGACGCTTGGTCGCTGTGCTAGCGCGCGTTTGCAGAAGATGATGGAGCGCGTGCGATCATGCAAGTGCATTTCGCGCAGTAAGAGCTGAGGGAGTTTTCAGAGATGATTGAAGACGCGTTTGTAATGTCTTCAAAATGTTTTTTTTACGCTATGTATTGAAATACAAGATCGTTGCTGCTAGTATAAATCAACAATAAAGACGAGCCAGATCGTGATCACCATGAGGATAGATATGAATATCAGGTCATCACGATACCACGTCCAACTGCAACTGTACCTTTTCTTTCTCTTACTTTCGCGCCCCTTCAGGAGAGTTTTATACATGTTGAGTCCCTTTCATGATTTAACTTCAAGTCTAGAAGTACCTCGACGTCGTGTAGCGCGCGCCAGTCCTCGGTAGCCAACGCGTGTCGCAAAAGGCGGCGGACGCAGTAGTGCACCAGAACCTGATCTCGGTACGACACGGTAGAGCTAAAGTCTCGGCACTCGTTCTCAAATAGCTGTCGATGAATCGCGCCCCAAAGCAGCTCCGAGTTGCAATGATCGTTGTGGTAGATCGCGTGCCACGTGCCAGTGCATGCCTGGGACAAATTGCACAAATCTTTGAAGCTGCCGTCCAGCAAAAAAGCCGCAATCTGTTGCCACACTTCGCTTGGAATGTGGTACATAGCCCTTCGGCCGGAATTTTCCTCTTCGAAGAAAGAACCGTTACTCGTCCCCTTTATTTTCGCCACCTCGTCCTCGAGGCTGTATTCCGCGTCCGCTACTGGTGCATTTGCACGTCTAACTTCTGCGCAGCGTTCAACGTTATGGCTTTCCTCGGCGTTTTCGGGTCTCGTCTTCTTTGCAATGGCGGCGCTGTCGTCCAAACGGCGGAGAGAACTACGAGGAGCTTCGACGGATTCACTAGTATCATGCTCAACAGCACCAGCATCGAGATTTTTGCGGCTTGAAGAACAACACGACGCCGAAGCTGTCGCTTCTGGTGGTGGTGCGTGTCCGTATCGCGCAGTGCTGCGGCATCTTGTCGCACCATCAGGGATCTTTTGCAGAGTGTTGCTGGTGCAAGTGCTTGGCCCACCAGAGGACTGGCTATCGCGGAACAGGACGCCACTTCCCACTTTTCGCAGTCGGCCTTGACCAATGGCTTCAGCGATAGCGCCTCCTAGGTCTTCAAAAGTGTGGCGATCATGATGTTGTTGTTGTTCTTGCCCGACATTTGTGCCCGGCTCGACGCCGCCACAGCTGGCGTCTGTTGAGCTTTTAGGGGTGCGCAGGGCCTCGTCGACATCTTCGTCTTCCAAGTTATCGTCCGTGGAGTAATCTTCATTCTCGAAGTGGTCACCTTTTGCAGACAAAGACGCTCTTCCTTCGGAGTGGCTGTGGCTCGTCTTCATCTGGTTTAGGTTTTTATCAATACCAGCTGCGGAATGGGATTGTGCGTCAGCTGCACAGCCGCCGTCCGCTTCCTCCAACAGTGGCGACAGATTGTCGAACAGCTCCGCAAGGCTTGTGCGACTCCCACGACTGCAGGTATTGACATTTGCGAGGTTCAGACGGTCGAAGTCACTTGCTGTTGGAGGTGCCCGTGGTCCCAGACTCGCAACTACATCGTGCGCAAACGACTGACCCGGTTGCTGATCCATGTGCGTGGTTGTCCCGTCTGCTGCAGCATGATCGAGATTGACGTCGCAGTCACTGTTAAGCCGGGAAAAGCTGAAACTGCGGCGGACCAACGAAGCGAAAGAACTTGGAGGGAGGGAATCTTGTGGATATGTTTCCTCTTCGTGTTGGTCACGCTCCGGAGACCACGCACCGCGTCCACCAACTGCTAGGCTCGAAGTCGAAGCGCTCTGCCCCATATTTGCACAAATGATCTGCCACCGTCGCACGACCCGTTGTGTCTGTCCAGCCCCTTTGGGATACAAAAGGACACCCACTACGCGGTTTTTACCATAGCCCCTACTGCGTTTGCGAGCACCAAGACCTACCACTACTTGCTCAGATACATGGTCGTCACGGACATGCTGGACGCATCTTGCTCTACCTCATCAACAACTCGGGCAAATTAAACGAGGCGGTCGCGGAGCGGACGCAACTACAACTACAAATTAAAAGTGAGCTGCGGGACCACCTCCCAAAGCGTACTCGTGCGGTTTCTTTCCTCTTCAGTCACACAAACACAATGCGGCAAGGTTTGCGACAGCGACATTTAGTGCTTTACATGGACATGGAGTATAGTGGTGATTGGCGTTGCCTCTTACCCCAACCCTCGATAGACAGACGTGGGCTTGCATCTGTTCACGAGCTGGCACACGACTAGGAGAGGGCAGTGTCTGTGGTCGCCTCTCAGGCCTGAACACAAGCCGGAACCCTAAACCCGTTTATGTATTGGCTTCCTTATAAAAACGATCTGTAAACAACTTTTTTACTACCGCGTCGCTATACAAATAAAAACCCTAAACCTGTTTGTTACGCGATCATGTATTCATTTTTTTGCATGCATCCATCCCGGCACGGAATGTAGGGGCGATTGGCGTTGCCTCTTACTCAGTCCCTCGATAGACAGGAGCGGGCTTACATCTGTTCGCAGCCTGGCACACGACTAGGAGGAGGCACGGGTATAGGTGGTGACTGGCGTTGCCTCTTACTCAGTTCCTCGATAGACAGGAGCGGGCTTACATCTGTTCGCAACCTGGCACACGACTTATAACACGCCCAACGATTAAATCCTAAAAGAGTTTAAAAAATGCTATCTAGCTTTTGAATTTACTATGCGTATAGCTATGTAAAACGTGATTAGCTAGGTGGTTAAATAGCTATGAGGAACGACCGCTCCGGATGTGTCTCGTAACGACGGGCGTGAAACCGCACGGGACTGCGTCGATGGCCATTATTTGGGTTTTCAAATGATTTGGATGCTCTATCTTCGAAAAACGCCTCCTCCTACTAGCAGATAAAAAAGCAGTGCGCAGTCCTGTTGCAGTGCATCGGTCTCAAGAGTAATGCGCCTGGCGGTGGACAAAAATAAGCAGTTCATCGGATTGAGGGAAGACAGCACAGAAATCGGGGGGAACTGTTGGGATTTTGATGAAGGCATTTGTTTTGAATTTTCTGCCCAGTGCTTTTGATTGGTTCGTTAGCCCCGTAGCTGTGACGTGTTGATTATTTTTGCTCGCGATATCTTCTCTAAATCAACTCTGCTTACGATCGATTTTTGGCACGAACAAAAATGGGAACGAAACCGATGGAGATCGAGCGCAAGGCTCGGCGGGAATTTGTTAATCTCATCTCCGATTCCTTCCAAATTAAACTTATCTTCGAAACCACTTCAGATATGTTCGCTCGATTGTGTCCAGCAGCATTGGAAGACGCGCAGGATGACCATTGGAATGGAGTACAACTGAAGTCTACTCTTAACTGGAGCGATGACTTCGATCGCCGGTTGCGCTTTATCCTCAACAACGAGCGGGACCGGTTGCACGGAACGATCCTGGTAGATATGCCAACACAAGTGGCAGCACTAGTGGCTAGCTTTTTTATTTTCGTTTGCATGTGCGACGCGATCACTCATACATGGGCCTACATATGTCAAGAAACAGTGCCTATTTGTCATGCGTATTGTGATGCTGGGCACTAGTGTTGCCAATTGTGTTTTTCATATTGGGCCTGGCAGTTGGTGACACATCCCGCTTCTTCATTGAGCCGGTCCACCGGGTCAAAAACTACGAAAAATTCGATATCGCCAGCGGGTGCGTTACGGTGGAAAACCTGAAGCCGAAATTGCAACAAATCTGGCGCGGACACGCGGCCATTCGGCATCTGAATCCGATGGCTATTCTCCAGGCCTATAGCCAGGAGACGCTGGTGGAGAAAAATGCACGCGAGCTTTTCCTGACCAAAATCCACGACACCGACCTGGTCTACGAGCCTCCCATCGACGAGTTCATGCAGGTCGACGGACTTCTTTCCGTGCGCGGCAATCCTACTCAAAAACTTCGCGTGCAGGAGAAGGCTTTGTATCCGCGCCGGGAGAAGGGGACAACGCTGAGCCTTCGATGCTCGATGAAAAGGCACGACGTTTGTTCTCTCCGTATATTCTCCGCTGGCGTGCAAGCGCGACACCTGCCAATAAGCCAAAGCACATCAAATGACTCTCGTTCAATAACCAGGTCTTCCGGACGAGCATACGGGGAGAATGACTTCGACTATTTGCTGCTGCACAGCAGGCGCCATCTTGGTGCGGGCTCATTCGGGGAATTGCATGGCAGCGCTTTGGTGCCACGGCAGGTCCTGCAAGAAGCAGGCATTGTGGCCAGCGACAGCAGGTAAGACGAAGTAGCTCCGCGCCATCTTGTTTGTGATGTTAGGTTTATGCTTTACGTAGTGCTTGTGCCACTAAGAACCATGAATGCGAATTAGTGCATGACAAACAGCAACGGCAAGAAGACCCTCGACATCTTCCCTCATGCGCCCGGGGTGAAGCGCCCGCGACCAAATGGACGACTGGAACAATTCTACGTGCGCGCGGATCTGGAAAGTACTTTTTCTACCAGGCTGCAGCAGATCCTTCAACACGACAAAAACCAGGAATCACAATCATCCTCTTCTTCGTCGACACAACAACCACAATAAATTTTCACGGAGACAAGCGACGACTTTTCCATCTTCTAGAAAACCACACCGAACAACACGCGCCGGCTCTCCACGTTGCAGCTTTGTCATTTTTGATTTTCGGATTTGTTGGCACAAAAATGCATTGAAAATGGAGCTCAAGCGCTGTGTTTAATTTTTTTGATTTTTTGCTGCTTTTTTCTTATCGGTAGTTGGGCTTTCATGAAACAAATAGAGCTCTTTCAAATTGACCTGAGAAGATTTCATATTATCATTTATACGTGTGCAGTCGAGGTAGTTTCCTAAAAATATGCAGCGGAGAAGCCGTCATCTCGCTGCAGCTAATCCTACGGGTATTTTCTAAATTCAACATCTTTGGTTGTATATATTTTTCAATGCTTGTTGCTGCTACAACAAGCAGCTTTTGGATTCTGTGTTGCTGGAAAAGCATCAACAGTAATAAACTGATGTAGTATTATATTTTGATTTTATAAAATCGAACCTGTAAGACTTCCGCAGTCTGTGTAATAAAAATATTGTTTCACGACTCAAGTCCCCGCGCACTTTCTAATATTAATTAAACGAAATATTGACAGCACAACTTTGGTCAGGTTCAAATCATCACCTTTTCTGTAGCTTGGAAGAAGAAGACGAGCTACCGGCTGCTTTGTTACCATTGGAAGAAGTTTGCTCAAGGAGGGACTGCGGTCGCTTGTTGGTTGTGCTTGACTGGTTCTTGTTCCGCGCGCCATAGGCTTCGAGAAACCCTTCATCACCCGGCAGCTCATCGAGGATGTCCATCGGTTTCTCTTCCTCCAAGAGCTGCGCCTCCAGTTCCTGCTGCTCCTTTTCGATCTCCGCCTTTTTGGCAGCAATAGCCGCTCGCATCTTATCAGTGTTTTCGGCCGTGGTGAAGGCGGAGTCGAGAATCGGGATGGCGCAGTTCAGGAGAATACCCGCTCCTTCATCAATGCGGCGCAATTCGAATTGGTCGCGCTGCAGCGAAAACTCGCAGATCACGAAAGGAAGTAACTCCGTGACTACATTGGTCTGCACATCGCCGGTTGCTTTCGTCGACGGCGCATATTTCACAAACGTAGGCACGTAATTGTTACTCCACCGGATCCTGATTCTGTCCTCTTTTTCACCGCCATCGACGCGGTGGGAGGCGATGGCGCAATACTCCTTCTCCGGCTCGTGGATGGTCGAAACAACACTGTGCCGGTAGATGGCGGCGTGGCGGGTGATTCCGTCCTTCATGGGAGAGCTGCGGCCGAACGGCCGACCGAGGACTTCCTGCTGAAACAGAACCTTCTTCCCGGCCGCTTTCTTCTTCGGCTTTGGAGCGAGCAAACTGGCAGTCGGCATTTCTTCCTCTTGTTCTTCGGTGGTGATGAGGATGATCCGCGCTGCAAATTCCTCATCGAATTTCACTCCCGATATCAAAGCTAAAAATCATTCACCCTGGATTGATTTACGCACTCAAATATGTTTGCTTTTGTATTGAAAACATTCGCATGACAGATTAGATGATGGCGAAAAGATAAAACACAGAGAAACTTATCCAGAGCGAAAGGTTTTTAGTATGATATCGCTTTCAATCATTTCGAAAAGAGAAGCCTTGTTGTACTCGTCCAGCAGCTGCAGGTGCTCGCCCGTGATCTGGGGGAACGACTTCTGGATGGGCTGCAACAGCGCCAGCTGCAATTCATCCGGAATAGACGGGCACATGATGGGCATCCAGTCGTTGGGATGCGCCCACAGCTGGCCACTGAGGTGGAAATACGGGGCAGCAGATGTATTGGTGGACTTGCGCTTCGCGGTGCCCTCGTAAATCTTCAGATCCGTGACCATGCCGCCGTACTTCCGCACTTCCTCGTCGGAAGTAGGCATGCGGAAAATCTTCGGACCGACCCGCACCAAGTACAATCCCTGCGCCCACCCGTTATCGTGCGCCGTGATGCGGACGCGATCTGCGGTTTTCTCATCTTCATCTTTGGGGCAGCCGACGAGCCACAGACTCTCGGCGTTGGCAAGCTGCAGATCCCAGGCGCGGTCGTCAGCGAATCGAGCTCCCAAAACCGCCTTCGCCTTAATCTGCGTCTTCGACTTGGTTTTCGTGTTCATGATGGACACCGCCTGCACGCCCCGGAGCCCCAGCCTGTTTGCCGGAGTAGAAGCGAACTCCTGACTGAGGGCGTGGTCCAAAATGGTCTTCACTTCCTGCGGCAATTTGTTGTAGTTCTGCCAAGCCATCTGCGCCATGAACTTCAACCCCTGGAAGGCCTTCGTGATTTCCGGACCGCGATCTTTTCCACGCGCCCGCTTTTCGTGGTTGGAGAACAGCAACATCTTCAAGTCCTGCGGGAGGGGCACGGGTTTTTTGCGGCGGACAATCAGCTTCAGGATTTCACTGAATTCGCGCGGCGTCAGAATGTGCAAGTCCTTGCAATTCTTCACCCGGTTTGGCGGATACATGCGGGGCTGATCGTTGGAGTGCCGGACTTTGTCGATCTGCTTGGAGATCAAGTGCCGGCCCGCCCGCTGTCGTTGGCCCTGGGTTAATTTTTGCTCCCGAAACTGGTTTTCCTGGATACGCTATGAAAAGCAAACTCCCATCATGATACTTGCATGCTATTGCGACAAAAGAGAAGAACTTCCTGATCGGCGTTTTGCATCACAAGTTTTTCACTGGCGAGTTTGTCATGCAAATACTGCGAAGCCAGGCTTCTATATCGTCGCGTGATGCTAATAGTTTCAGCATGATTTCCATATGCAAACAGGAGGCGGCTTGCCCTAGCAGCTGATCTCATCCCCTGCGCAATAGCACGCATTTAGCATGACAGATTTGCAAAATCATATGTATTCGGTCAGCGGGATACAGCGGATGATGCGACCGGCCCATTCCCCGATCAGCTGCTTGGCTTCCTCCGGTGGCAGATCCACGATGGCCTTGATGTTGTACTTCGCACTGACCGACAAATCGCACACGTAGTAATCGCCCAAATTCTCCATCATGTCCTTGGTCAGGTTCAAGCTGCCGCTCGCGTACGATTCGAACAGGCCGTACTGCGGGTCGCCCGTCTGATACCACCACACGTTGACGCACTTCTGCAAGCAGCGGAAAGATGGGCCTTCGTGGTCCGTAGTGACATTGCTGGCCTTGCAGAAATCCGACGTCAGATTCCGCCAGGTTCTATTGCGGTTTTTCGACCGCGCCTCCTGGATTGCTGTGGTGGCCAGCACTTGACCCCGCACTGCAGTCGGATCCACGTACCGCTGGTAGCAGTTCAGCAGCGTCGACGAGTCGACGTTGGCGCGGAAGCGGCCACTTTTTTCCAAGTGGAGGAGCAACAGATGATGGAAGTAGTGCCCGGCAACAACCCGCTCCTGCACCTTGAACAACTTGTAGTGGAAATCCGTCAGCTCTTTGTAGAGCTCGGTGTGGTAGCCCAGCCACTTCGGCTTGAGTTTCAGCTCCTCCTTCGACAAATCCCTCGCCTGCAGCAACTCGGAGCCGTTTTCCTCCATAATCTTCTCGATTTCGTCGCTTTTGATGAATTCAAATATCCTTTGAAAATGAGCCCGATTTCGAAGAGTTTCGTTGTAGAATTTGTAATGCAAATACTATGCTCATCAAGCACGAAATGCACTACATCAAAACTTCTCGAAGCCGGGCTATTATCAGTTTCATAGTGCGGCCGTGGATCTTCTGCTTATCGATGATCGCGGAGAGCGTGCACAGCACGAGGTAGTAGCACTTCTGGATCATGCTCCGCCACTCCGAATCGCCATGGAATCGGGACTGCGACGCGTGAAAGAAGTTGAATTCTGTGTTGTTTGCAGGTTGGAGTTGCTTGTTATTTGTCATGCAAAAATGACTCATCTGGACACCCTCTCAGAGGGGGGCCAGACCCCCCCCTATAACCCCCTGTCTATAAACACACTACTTGAAGCTATCCTGCATGGTATGATCGATCTGGAGGGGGTCACTTGACCCCCCCCCTATACCGGAGGGTAACCGCCGGCTATTTCATTGAAAAGTTACACTGAGACTTTGCATCACAAATCGCCAAACAACACAGAATATACTTTTCGCCAAGGCGTCCTCCATTTTGACGCAGTTCTGCTCCTTCAGCAGCTGACTCCGCCACTTTTTCCTACCAGCAGACGCTTCGGGATCTTTGTTGACTTTTTCCTTCAGTTCTTCTTTCGCGAACAGAAACTCCGCCTGGTTCTGCGCAGTCCTGCACGGCCCGGTCGCCCAGGTGTCCCAGAGGTCCCTCGCGGTTTTCAATTCCGGACAACAATCCTTGACGTCATTACTACCGCGATGCAGATCGCCGTCGAAGTAGGCGCCGGGGAGAAACAAAATCTGGCTTTGGCTGTACCGCAATTCGGATGACCCTTGATCCGACTTGATGCAAAACTCCATGAGCGACCGGATACCGTCGGACTTTGTGCGCCGGAGGTAGTCCAAGTTCATCTCGCGCCACGGTTTTCCCTTGTCGCAGAATCGCTCCTTGATCACCGCTTCGCCGAAGCAGTTCATCCACATCGAGAGGCTCAACATCCCGACGTACTGCGACTTCGTGCCGGGGACTCGGCTGGTGAGCCGGGATAGCCCACCAACCTGAAACGGGTTCGGCTGCAACTGCAACTCCTCAGAGATCGGGTGACTCGGCGGCAAGTGGTTTTCCATTGTTTTCGGGTCGACGTAATCGCTGTAGGTGAACTGGTGTTTGTATTGGGAGAGTAGTTGCATTGTAGTAGCATGCAGCGTAACTTTATGCACGACGTGGCTATGGACTCAAAATGCATGACAAGTTCATCTAAATCAGTACCATCGTGCAAGACATTATTCACGACGGCAGCAAGTGCTATACGTGAGAGCCCCACGCCCCGTTTTTCCTCACGGTACTCGAGTCCGCGATCTGGCAAGCCGCCGAGTCCAAGCTGCCGAAGGACAACTCCGGCCAAATCCCGGCAAGCAAGGAGCATTCTTTATCCCTATCGGCATCACAAGCAAACGCGCGGCTCATGATGACGAATTCCTGGTATCTCCGCAGTGCGAAAGCCTGGAGCTTTGATGCTTATGCTCTCCTCGTGGATAAAGTTACACACGACGGCACTGCGACCCATGTACTTTCTCGTAAGCATGCCATGCAGCAAAACATTACTCACGATGGTACTACTTGTGCTTTTTTTGTTCCCGTACACCCATGCAGTATAACCTTACTCGCGACGGCATGGTCAATGTTAAAACTATGCATAAGTGCCTGGCTTCGCAATCTGGCATCGTCCGCACCCTGCCGTCCCAGCATCTCCTCCGACTTCTTCCGGATGGCTTCCGTGCAGAGAAACAAGTTGTTCGGGTTGAGGCTGTACAATTCGTCTCGAAGTGCGCAGGTTCCGAATTTAGCGAGCACCATATTCGCGCTCTGGGTCACCCGCCACCAGAGATAGCACATTACCTGAGGAGGCATGTGGAGATATGATGTCCAAGTATATTTTTTTGCATCACAAATGTCATTTCTGCGTGTGAATCGCGCATCACAAAATTCACGATACCACATCCCACTCATCGCCTTCGGGGGACGGTTCCCAAGTGATCCCACACTTTTCGGACAAGTCCTTCGGCACGATGCGTTTCAACCAATCGAAATACGAGGCCGGCGTGGGTGGCTGTATGACTTGGCGAAGATGTAGACCACAACCAAGCACGACTACTGCTTATCTGCAGCTGATCTCATGCAGTCCTGCGTTACAAATTCAAATGCGCTATATATATATATATATGCGTTTTGTATCCTTGTAGCCGTAAACGCAAGCAATCCACATCTTCACTCTCATACCCATGCTCTTGAGTTTGTAGACGGGGCGGCCACTGTGCTCGGACCGAAACGGCTTGTCCCATCGGGTTGCGCGACTGGATTTGATTTTGCCGGCTGGTAAATCTTCCGTCCACGGCTCCTCCTCGCTGTCGTATTCGTAGTCTTCGTCAGACACATATCAAACGCAAAACCTCACACATCCTTCACGTGTAGATGGGCAAACAGCATCAGCTTCTCAGATTGTTAGTGTATGTGGTAGCGCGCATGAATTCTTGCATTCGCGCGGCCCAAGGAAAGGTGGCAGAGCCGCAAGAATATGTCTTTAGGAGTTTTGCGCGCAAACTATCATGCGGAACGCGAGATAGATGTTGTTTTTTCTTCATGATACAAAACGAAATGTCTACACGTGAGCGGATGTGTGATTTTTTGCATTGGTATGCCAAACTCCTCGCCCTGGATCGGAGTTTCCGTGTACAATGTAGCCGCGGGTTTGAGGACGGCAGGAATATTGGGAAGATGCGCAGCAGGTATCTGCATCGGTATGTCCTCCGGACGTCTCTCAAACGCTCCTGCCGCGCGGTACACGGGCGGAGCCGCGGGTGGATTCATATTATTGAACTGCGTCACTCCATAATTGTCGTATTACAGTAGTCGTCTATACAAAACACAAAGACTCAGGGTAGCGCGGGGACCTGGCACCATGTACGAAACGAGACGACATTTGCGACGATCAACGCGCGTCTCTTCTTCCACTTCTACATCTCAACTACCGTGCATCTCATCAACCGAAAATCAGCAGCAAACACAACTGCGAACACCTCCTCAACAACAGATTTAGTGGCACGAGCAACAGACTTGCTTTTTTATTTTTTCTCATCACATGATTCAGAATCTCAACTGTCAATCATCTCAGGCTTCGGTGTGAAGCTATTGTGCGGATTGTCCAGTGCGAATTTCTGCAGCAGTATTTTCCCCGCTTCACGAAAACATAGTTGATCGCCTAGAAGTGCGGCAGCTGGCGCGACCTACCAGCTGCTAAATTCACGGTGAGGCTGCAGAAGGTATTGACTTATTACAAGGCCGAAGTCGATTAATCAATAGCATCTACTTTCATTTCTGTGCAGTAAGTAGTATACGTGCTGCCCTGTCGGCAACCGACAAAGACAGCGCAAAATATGGAATTACTTTTAATTCAAATTTCTAATATATTTTTTATTTTGTGAAACTTCATCATAAGTGGAACTACCTATAAATGATACACAATACACTAGTGGTGTTATGACGTGTAAACCAGCAGTAGTACCGTGGTGGGTAATGTCACCCTCGACGCTATGAGGCGTCCTTTTTTCTAATACAAACGGGATCATGCGTCACGCCATGCAGTACAACATTACTCACGACGGCACACTGCGGGTTTACATGTCGCGCAATCAGGTAGAACCACTGAAACATATCTGAATTCTCGATTTTTTTCAACAAACACGACATGGCGGCTCTCTTCACTTCTTCTTCTTCGGGGTCGGCTTCGCCTTGGACATCTTTTTCATGACCGGGGCCTTGCCGGACGAGGAACCAGACTTACGCTTGTTTTTCTTGTCAGCGGCTGTTTTGGAGGCGTCCTTCGCCTTCTTGGCGGCGGCTTTCTCCTTCTTCGCCTTTTCTTTTTCTTCGGCGACCTTTTGCTTCTCCAGTTCCGCGTCCAAGCGGTCGTTCTCAGCTTTGATCTCGTCCAAGACGCGCTTGTCCTCTTCCCACAGGCTCCCGGCAAAAAAGGAGCCCAAATCGTCCTTGAACACAGAGGACACCATGTCGCTGCACTTCTCCTCGGGGGTCTTGCCGGACTTCTTCTTGTCCGTGTCGCGGATGGACAAGGAGTGCTTCTTCTCGGGGTCCACGGGGTCCTGGAACTCCAACACCGTGGGCAAGCACGGACCACCGGGGGTCGTGATGTTCTTCTTGTGGAAATCACGCATGGCGGACGCGTTGACTCCGATGTTGGTGACGTTGGTGGTGGACGAACCGGCGTTGGCCTGGTTCGGCATCGCCGGCGGCATCATCGACTGCATCGCCATGGGGTTCCCGAACATCACCTGTGATGAGATGATAGTTGTTTGCTCCAAAAGAATTTCTCGCACGAGATCTTCGCACTCGTACAAATATGCATGTTCAAAAAAATCTAATAACAGGTGCTAAATCATTATACCGCTCCGCTCGGGCCGGGGGTCATCTGGAAGGACCCAAAACCGCCACCATTGGAGGGCATGTTCATCGGGCCGAAGCCGTGCGGGTGCGGGGTCATACCCATCATGCCAGAGGGGGTCACTCCAAACTGCGAGAACTGCGGCGTCATCCCAAACGGGTTGAACATGCCCGGGGTCGGCATGCCCTGGCGCTCCGCCTGCGACACGCTCTTCGCCACGTCCGTCAACATGCACTTCGAGGGTTCCGGGCAATGCTCCACCACGATGGACCAGGTGCTGTGCGAACCCGCGTGCGTCAGGTTCCGGGTGGTCTGCTGCAAGTTGCGGAGCTTGCACTTGCTGTCCTTGGCGATGATCTGGTATTATTTTTGACGCAATAATTATGACGAAGATGCAAAAGTGGATGTGACGAGCATGCGCATTTGTGGAATCTCTAATCATCTGTTTTGCTAGGACCTAATCGCAAGATGAGTTGCATGCTGAAAACACATACACCGTAACTAAATACAAAAATCAGCTACCAACGCGACCGGGATCCGCATCTTGGTCAACACGAAGTGGAGCTGGTTGGTGGTGTACACGCACCGCGCGACCCACAGCACGTTCTTCCGGCACAGAGTCGACAAAATCACTTGGGCCATCTCGATGGGGATGTCGGAGTAGCCTGGACGATGAAGATGATGACGATTCGTTTGCGTGTGATGATGAGCTGGAAGATGTATCTGCGCACGTGTTTATTGCTTCGTCATAGAGCATACAGTATCGCGATAGCATGACGATGAAGATGCTGCGGCACTTCAATGCTCTCCTTATCTATATCAACATAGAAAAGCAGCGTAGACTGCTTCTGTTTTCATGCATCACAAACGAGCTTTTTACTCGCAGTCTGTATGCTCAAGCTGAAGCAACACGTGCGCGCACAGTATCAAACTATTACTATGAATCATCATCAAAAAATCATGAATATAGCATCACAGATAAACAAACAAGATATACGGGCGATGGTCCCGGGGAAGGCCTGTTTGCCTAATTCCGAGAGCAAGACGAATCCTTCTTCATCCGCCAGGTCGGCCTCATCCATCTCATCCAGGGCGGCGCGGACGAGCTCCTTCTCGGCCTTAGATGGGCCACCAACTTTCGCTTTGGTGATTTCCATCACGCTGTTGATTGGGACCGGCGCGGTGGATGATCATTTTCGTCCCATTTTCTGCCGGATTTCTTTAGTTTAAGATCCGTCGACGGCCGCCTCTGTTTGGTCGTCGATCGATCCCTTGGAAGGACCTAAATTTTCACAATTTTGAAAATTTTCAAACAAAAAGTCATCCTTTTTGTGTTCCGAAGTCGTCGCTTCCGCCCCTGTTAAGGTTTTGGTGGTCAGTGTGTTCCGCAAATGCAGCAGTCGCGGTCGTTAAGTATTATAATGCGTTTTCGAAGTAAAATAGATAGGATTTGTGATGCAGAATCTGTCGATCCGCATCACAATATGGACTCGACAGCGACGGCATGGCCGTCCGCACTTTTTCGTGCTAGTGTTCTCCCCCATGCTATGCCGATGATGATGCTTGTGTTCGTCCGCGCATCTCCTAGCTATTTCGAGGTCGTATCGTCGTGTTTTCTTCGTGTGTGTTCAACGCCGACATCGGGGACCGCTAGCAGCGACCACCGAGTGTGCAAGCCGGGCGCCCCGGATTGGATTGTATCAAAAAAAAAATGGAGACAACTATCGATAACTAAACTAGACAACCCAAGAGGTGACGTGCATGCGAAACAGGTGGCACTAAGTGCATCGCGTTCTCCATGCATCTCGTGACTCGATTGCGACATTATATTTAAACAAGAAAAAGCAAAGTGATTAGTACTGCCAGCTCCGCAACCTTTTTGGAGCACGTGGTCGCAATAGTTGGGTCGCATGTCAAAAAAAATGTTGTTGTCATGCGCTTTTGCATGTTGTCTAAGTCTTTTCGATAGTCGTCTCATGATTAACCACGGGCATAAAGCGGCCGCACCGAAAGCCGTCGTTTCCAGAAGATCGTCTTGAACTACACCCGATCGCGTCGTACTGCATCCAGGAACAGCCATCGGAGTCGTTGCGGAGCCGGCGATGCATAACGGAGACGCAGGTATGGTCATCGGAATCGGAGGAACATATCGACGAAAAATATGATACTAATGATTGAAAGCTAGCTACACACGAAGTAGCTGCGCTGCTTCGTATATTCTTTTTGGTCTGTAGTTGCAAAGTGTTTAGGTCAAATGCAAATAGAAAACTGCCATCTTGCCTCCGAAAAAAGTAATGCAATTTTAGTGCACCACGTGATGAGAAAGCGTACGACTTCCCTACTAAGCTCGGACGCATCAAGCGTCTAGGCAAGTGGGATACCCACGAACTGACAATATAAGTCTGATGCTTTTTTCCTTCTTTCACAAAACCAAAGCAGGACGACCGCCGCTACGACGAATGTCTTCGTGTCGCATCTATCGCAGTCAAAACGCGGGCGAAGGCCTTGAGAAGAGTGTTTTGCACGTGGTCGTGTGCAACAGTAGCTGATGAGAAAGAAAATGCAAAGTCGAATTGTAAGTTTTTGCCCGAGTGTAAGTGTTTAGCAACGTCAATCTGACTACCCTGGGAAGCATTCATCTTAGATGTACAAGCACCGCCAAGGATGAGAAATCTAATGAATGCGAAGGCGAACTCGAAGTAGTTCGGGACCGCTGCCGAAAACAGCAAAAATCCGGATGAAACTCTGAGGCGTTTTTTCCATCGAAGTGTTCTTACTTTTCTGTTTTCGTGTCGCAAGAACGGGCGTGTGCATCGAGTGAAAAGGGTCGAGCATTAGGTCGGTGCTTTTTTTTGCTTTTGTTTTTGCTTATGTACTAGTTTATAGCTCAAACAAGCGTACTACCGTTCGCATTTGTTGCATTTGCAGGAAGAAGAGCGGAAAGTCACTTCTGCGAGGGAATGAGTACGTTTTTCAACGCACTTCGTGCGATAATACTAACGGGGAAGATGAGAGTGTTTTTCGTGTAGGTTTCGAGCAGATAAAGCAGTACAAGAGCGAAGGAGCGGATGGACAATGGAAGAAGAAGTCGAGACGCAACGCAGGAGAAGATGCGAAGCACAATATTTTCTAAAATACTAGCAGCTTCCCCCCTGGTTGTAACATCAACATACCGCCGCGGTTTGTTGATCTAACATCTGCGTCGTAGTATCCCCGCAGGTTTTACAAGATGAAAAAGCAGAATAAGCGGAAACCTGCGGAGACGGACCTGGTGGTAGCAGAGGAAGTACCTGCTCCACCTCCTGTGCCGCGAGAAAACAATCCGGCGCTCGACTTCTTCTACGGGTTAGGAGAAGTGCCTGCTCGCGCCGCGTGGAGGTTGAGTAGTTTGCTGTGCCGAAACGCGAAAAGCACATCATCGACGTACTTCAACGACATCAAGTACGAGGTCGTCGATGTAAAATGCGAAATGGACGGATCGACGACCCAACAACTATTCTGGTCCGGGTCGACAGTGGGCAGGCTGCGAATATTTGCGCACATCATGTTCATGTTTTGCACGGTGTACTTCATCATCGGGGGGCACGACAGTATCGGCACCGTGTGCATTCCGGCACATGCAGTATTGTACCCGAATAGCAGCAAGTATCCAAATGAAAAAACTCGATGCTGATTGGTGTGATCATTTTCATTCTATTTGCATGACAAATCTCAAAACGTCCGCAGATGATAGTCAACATCACCTGACGATAATAAATACCAGCTGCCTCGCAGCTGATCTGTAATGCAGAACTTGTGATGCAGAAGCACTAATCTTTCGAGTCACATCAAGCATCGAGTTTGGTTGTGATATTTTTTTTGACCGTGCCAAGCTGGGCGAGAAGAACGCATCCTGTTTTCGGGGCTTCAGTGAAGCGTGGGAGGTGGCTGAGCAGCTGCTCAGCTACATCCGACCGGAGGAGTGGTATAAAAATCTACACCCGGCGACCGTCAAAATTTTTAGTCCCTCGACTGATAGTGGCGGATCCACAATCAACAGTTTGTTTTATGTGGGCGCCGTATTCCTGTCCAACTCCTGGCTGCGGAGCAACGTGATCCTGTGGCCGACTCGGTGCCTCGCGCACCAAGTCGCCATCACCGGCCGCAGCAGTGTCGAGCTGTATCTGGGACTGTGTGGACTCGACAAAACGCGATGGCAACGGAGGGTGTATCTGCAGGTATGAGAATTTTTGTCATGCAAAGGGTGATGCTGTGAAGATGTGGATAGTATGCAAAATAAATTTATTATTTATTTCTTACAGGGGATGAGCATCAAGCTGATGCAGGATCGGGCGCATGCAAAGCTGGCAGAGATGAAAGTGCACATCTCGCAGGCGTCTAGCGAAACCTTCAACCCAGCACCGCAGCCGGAGTTCGTCGACTTCGTAAACCGGATCCCGATTCCAATCAAGAAGAAAGAATTCTTCTTGAAATGCAACGTAAAACGCACCAACCTGATGGTGCCCCACGCCGCACGGGAACAGGCTACGCAGGCGGTACATAAATTGTACAAAGGAACCAGATTGCCCGTCTGGACCAGATGGCTAACTGTGTCCATCGCACTGGCACAGTACGCGGCGATGTGTGCATTTTGTTTGCCGCTGATTCTCATCGGGCTGGGGTCGACGATAAAGCTCGGAGATGAACAATACTTGTCCCACGAATTCCAGCTTAACATGAGCGGAAGCACAAGTTTTTTTTTTTGATATTTTGTTGTGATTCAAGATATGACGCAGAAAGAGCACGCGTGGCTCTTCGTTCTAGATTTTGCAATGCAAATGTCATGCTAAAGCAACCACATGCATTACAGAGTCGTCGCTTCCAGAATGCATTACAAATTTCCAAATCTGAAAACACGACCCAGATATGCAGTTCATCTACAACATTAGCATCTGGATGGCGATGATTATCCTGAACCCGTCGGACAACTACTGCCGCGAACTTTTGAAGTCGAGCGACCGAGACGAATCGCAGAAACTGTGGCGGACGTTTTTGCAGGAGGTAAACGACGCAGTAAAATACCTCGGGAACCGGGAGGCAGTTTTGTCTGACATGAAGTTCTTGTTTTGCCGGGTCGGGCAGCCGGACGTGCAATTTTCCGCAGCGCAGGAGGCCTTGGTATCGACGTTGAAGATTGCTTGACTAATGCAAACCTGTTTTCGCATGACAAATTTCCAACATCATCATCAAATGCATGACAAATTCTTTACAGATCGACTTTCACCGCGTTGCGGCGCAGTTGGGATTGTACTTCTCGATTACATCAATGCGGTACCGCGAGTTTTCAACCAACAAACACGACTCCTGGCTCGTCAAGTACATGTTCAAAGACCGCTCCAAGTGCATCGAAGAATTGGAAAACTGGCAGGACGGAAACTACGAGCAGGGGGATCCGGGAACGATGGCACTGGAAAGCCTCGCGGCGTGGTACAAGGCGCAGCCGCCGAAGCAGCGGAAGAGTCGTCTGCATTCGGCGTGCTGCTATTTGTACCGGCGGAACCGGCTGACGAAGAACGTGGAGAGGAAAATCGGCCGGTACAAGCGGGTATCGCGGGAAGTCCGCCACGGTTTGAAAAGCACACCAGGGGCCGACACGGCCTGCAACAGGACGGACTGGCAGAATTGCAGGGATTCTGCTGTGGACGAAGCAAAGCGGTTCGACACCACACCCGCAGACGATGACACGCAGGCCCGCGCACCTGCGGCGAAGAAGCGCACCTACCACGTTCCGCGCGCAATCGACATGAAACGGAGTCACCAGTACAAGACGGTGGAAAAGCAGGAAGGAAAGCATGGATCGCTGAAGACAACGCACCTGCTGAACAGTTGGGGCAGTGCTGCGGAGCAGACGAAGTACGAAGCGATGGCGCAGCTGCAGAACAAAAAAGAAGTCAAAGCAGGACCCAAGTTCGAGTCGGAAAGCGAAAGCGAGGATGAGTGGCCGGATCGCGCGGAGCCGGTGGCGCTGGCGGAGCGTGGTTACTACCTCGCGGTGGAAGACGCAGTGTGTAGTGAGTTTGTCACTGACAAGAACGATTACCGGAAGCTGTTGCCAATCTCCACCTCCCGGGTCCTGCAGCCACTGCAGAACGAATCTCCGCCGGAAATACGCGTCAAAGCGCGGAAGGTGCCACTGGTCGCGGCGATATTGGATAAGTACGTGCGGGCGAAGAACAAGACGCTGAAAGAGAAGTGCAGCACGGATACAAAAGAAACGAAGAATGGTATCACAGTGAAGAACTACTAGCTTTTCAAAAAGAATGCGAGCTTGTTTCGCTTGACCCACAATTTGCAATGCAACACTTGCGCATGACAAGTTCTTTTTTGCAAGAAAAAGCATGCTTTTTCTGTGATACCTTCTTCATATGTGGAGCAATTGCAGCTGCACCACCTGCAGGACGACGAAAGCTTGGAAGATAACCTGCCGGAGCCGGAACCAGAAGCGGAGATCATCGACGGAGATTTGAAGGTTGCTGCCGCGGTGGAAAAGTTGGCTTCCGACTTGAAAAAGCTGCTGACAAACGTCTTGATCACGAAGCTGCGGCACAAGGAGACGAACGAACTGCACGACTTCATGATCCTGGAGATCATGTGCGGTCCGGCGCATTTCAAGGCGATACAGCTGCAGAAGCTGCCTGCTGGAAAAGACGAAGTGCAGGGCGTTTTTGACGAGAAATTCGCGCCAACCTGCGTGATGGTTTACTCCGACTGCGACGTGGATTACGACCTTGGGGAGGCGCACAGCTTCTTCACGATGAAGCTACTACCGGACGCAAAGATGACGCTTCCGTGCGTGTGTCGCGGAGAGCAGGTCACGATTAACCTGGATAAGACGGTGAAAGTGAAGCCGCAACCCGACAAGACCATCTCCGAGGACGCGATCAAGCAGATGTCATTGATGGAGAGATACGCTCTCAATGATAACGTTCAGCGGACGATGCGGCCGGTGGCACTGCGTATTGTATCGGTGGAAACGTAACCAAGCAGCTTCGTGGTCGGTTGCTGGAGAAATACGACCAGAGCGAGCGACTGGTGTTGCGGTTGGTGCTGTGGATAAAAAAGCACTGCTCCGCAGCCGAAGCTGCGACTGAAATACAAGCACTTTGCCATGCAAAAAACATGCATATGTGACGTTTCTCCGAACAGACCGGGTGCTTGGTTACGTTTGCAGCGTGGATAAGCTGCTGACCCGCAAGTACAGGACAAAATCTACGTGGTGAAGGAGAAGCAGAGCGTCGTGGTGCGGCTGCGCCGCGAAGTGGATGAAGATGCCGCGTTGGCTGCTGACGACCTTATTCCGGAGCTCTCTTCGCAGAGCAAGCAGAAGGATACCCAAACGCAGCAGACGTCTCTGGATTCCCAAGTGTCGCAGAAGGCGACTGTGCAGATCGATGGACGGGAGTGCAAGGAGTTCGCTTGGCAGAAGAAGATCGTCGCATCCCGGATGCATCCGCTGCGAATTTCCGGCTTCAAGGTCAGCGAAAATACCAGCAAGTCCGACAACCGCGGGAAAGCCAAGGACAGCTTGCGTTTCAAGGTGGAATGCATCCACGGAACGATGAAAAAGCAGATCGCGGACTGCTATTCGTCGCGGTGCTTGAATATGAAGACCGGGGCAACGAAAAACGCCGTGAAGTACATGCGGCATGGCGAGCACAGCGGCCACTTCTTCACCGAGTTGATGCTAAACGTGTGGAGTTGCCGTGCGCGCTTCATAGCACCACGAGCCGTCCTCCACAACAAAGATCCCACCGCTTTTCCTGGCCAACACCACGTGGATGCGCTGAAGCTGCAGTACGACGAGGCGATGAGCGAGATTCTGGAGTACGCGAAGCAGGTGGTAACCGTGAACGGGAAGAAGTGGGTGGAGATCGAAGCTGAAGCGACAATCGGCGACGGTGAATTGAAGTGCTTGGACCCTGCGTTTGTCGCGCCGCATTACCACGATTTTCCGGCAGCGGAGGACGCGTTGGATGGTGATGAGTTGCCCGTGCTGCTGGAGAAGAAGAAGCGAAAGAAGAAGAGCGGAAAGCTGCCTGCTATTGCGGAAGAACCAGAGCCGGAATCCGCAGAGAACCTGTTGCGGAAAATGGGCACCGCGTAACGGGCGGATCGACGACAAGAACACAACGATTTGGAAGGACCAGGGGGGAACGCAACTCGTTCTCCAGCAGCAGCCGGCAGCTTCAGAAAATAAGCACTCACTTTCTCTCTTTTAAGACTCTTCTGTAGAAAGCGTGATCATTTGGTAGTCAAAATATTAAGAAAATATTAAGAAAATCTTATGTAGAAAAACATAAATTATTTTGTCCATTCGAGAAAATAATGAGACCTCTATAACCGTGATCGTAGCATCGTGGAACGTACAAAATAATGGACATATGTTTTTGAAAATAGTGAGATAATAATTGCCTCAATAATTCTACTCAAAGTCTTGCTCTCCTTCTTAAGTTTTCGCGAGTCGTTCTAGTTGAAGTATTCTTAATAAAATGAACAGCTTTCTTCTTGTAAAATCTAGATTTTCACGTTCCCAACTTCAATCATCTGTAGCCGGAATCGACGAGAAGGTGACCAGGATCGACTTGGCATGACCTCCGCCATGTAGAGCAGCCTGGATCTGATGCGTTCATGAGCTTGTCATGCTGGCAGCTTTGTACTTCAAGAAGGCGACCTTCTGGATTTGTAATGCAGCGTTCCTGAGTTTGTATTGCCAAGGAGATCCTGCAGATGCATACCGAAGACCGCGATGAACTCCATGGCCACGTCCGCGTCGACCTGCACGACCATGGTGTCTACTTGGTGGGCTGCACGATCTTCGTCACCTTCTCGATCGACTCCTCCAATAGTACCTGATAGAATGTAGGATAGAATAACAAATAGTAGAAGCACGCTTTACAGTAGTAGGCTTCGCAGTAGTAGACGTCCACTAACAGAGGTATAAAAGCGACGCGATGTAGTACATGAAAGTGAAGAAATAGTAATAGAATACATGAAGAAAAGTAACACATCTTGCATGGCATGGGAAAGCATTGAGTTGAAGCTTGGAAAAGGGATAGATGAACACAGCATAGCAAACATAGTGGAAAAGTAACAAAAAAGCACGCGAAAATCTTGTACAGTTTCAGTGTATAACTTTGCTGCATACTTCGCATCAGTTGCGCGTCATATTTACAGTACAAAACCAGAAAAGAAAGTAGTAGTACCTATTTGCCAGCGTGCTTGAGCTCGTTTTCACATCTTCTGCACCGTGTTCGCGTCGAAGGTCTTGATGAATAGAAGTTTCAGCACCTGAAGTGTATTTTACGCACATGATGACTGAAAAGTGATCACAGATCCAGTTTCGTACTACAGATTTGAAATATAGTAGAAGTGCTTCTTTGTTTCTCAGCGAATTGATATCGCTGCACACACAGAGTCGGTTCTTTCTTTCTCTTTTTTTTCAGAGCGAGGTAGCTGCTGATTTGAATTCTTTGAACGTCCTTTTCAATAAAAAACCGTAGCCGATTATTATGAACAGCCAATCCAGCCTTCGCAGTACTCCTACATCAGAGCGCTCTAGCACTTATCACACTTTGGGACTTCTGAACGCTACACTGTGGGCTGGTGAGGCTTTAGCAGCAGAGAGTATTCTTGATCGTGAGTCTAGTTCTGAGGAATCTGAGCCACTCATGCCACCGCGCCTTACACGACATGATACTGAGCAGGTGGCTCAGGCCGTCGCAGAGTCGACGCGCATGACAGTAAAGATGGGCTTTCGTTTTGTTAGATACTTAGATGGAAAAGATGCGATGCTTTTGAAAACCAGAGTTCCTGATGAACCGGTATAATGAATGTCTTCATCATGCAAAATGAGAAACAGATGCAATGCTACTTCAGTTTCAAATTCAAAAAAAAAAAACATCACAGAATTCGGCGTCGATTTTCGAAGCTTTGAAGCAACTTGTGCGTGATCAGAATTATACGCGTACAAAAATTAACGCGAGAATCGCGGCCCTGGGACGTAAGTCCCAGGCAGAAATTCAGAGACTTCCTTTGAGTCATGAGCGACTGATTGCGAAAGCAATCAAACGGGTGCCGACATTTATTCGTGAAGTTTTGCTGCTGACCCGTTTTGATCGTATTTTGTATGATAGTAAATTGTGGGAATTCTGTGATGTATTCGTGCACTTTGTGTCTAGTTCTGCATGACAAACTTGCAATTCTAGAAAGAGTCATCTTGAATCATCTGCGCATCAACTATTTTGATGTCGCGACGCATGACAAAGCAGCTCAGGAACACTTGACAACTAGGCCTCAACATACAAAACAGGAATTCCCACCTTGCATCACCATAACCGCGCGACGTTCCGCGACTCCGACAAGACCGTTTTGAGAGGCACCGCTGATGAATCCGCGCAGGCGCTCCTGGTACTAAAATATTTCAACATGTTCACTTGCATCTTGTCTTGTGTAGATTCAAAAAACTGGCTTTGTCGCCAAGGTACCTACGACACTGCATGACAAATAAGAACTTTGTGCCAATTTCCTAGCAGCACGTCAAGAAAGGGATTTTGTGTGATCAGAAAAGCAAGATCATGTTGAAATTGCATAAAAACTTCTTTCAGGAACACCTGACGAGCCGCGCGTTGAGTCTCAGCGACGAGTCCACCGCCTTGTCCGCCTTGTACGTGTTCGATTGGTGCGCTGAATTCTGCAGCGACAACTGGTTGGCCTGGTGCGAAGTCGGAGCCATCGATTGTCTCGACCAGGGTATCGTGAACGCGGCGAGGTCCAATGTGAGCACCAAGATCCGTACGCTGCAGGGAGTGGCAGAGTGGTATTTTTGTACTTCGTGTGAGCATCAAGTCTAGTAGTGATACATGTGTTTTTCATCGATGACGCAACTATTGCGCTTTCTATCTTGGACTCATGTAATATTGAAAAAAATACTAATACCAGGGCCGAGAACCGCGGTCGTTTCTTCATCGGACCTACCACGCACATGCCCGACTTGAAGGCCAACTTGAAGCTGGTGATCCGCGCCTGCCGCGAGAAGAAGGTCCAGAAGCTCCAATTGAAGATGCGTGACGTCATCGCCCTCAACCAGACCGAAACGCCCCAACATAAATCTTGGATGAAACTCGAAACGGTATGTCATACATAGCACCGCTCTGAACTTGCATAAGCAATCACTTTCGCATGACACAATGAGGCTTTCATGAAAGAAAATCCCTCTACTTGCATTTGAAATTACGTACAGATTGTGAATACCGCTGCGACGGTGGAAATGTTGGAGGAGGGCTTGGTCAAGGTGGTGAACCACATGAACGACCCGATGCTCATGTCGATCGACAGCGCGCACGTGTTCAAGCTGCTGGATGCCCATGAGTGCGGTGAACTCTTCATCTGGAAGGTGTGCAACAAGGTCCACGGGATGGTCGAAGTGACACTGTTTCAGCTGGTACGTATCTGTTTTGTACATCAGTGTTGAGTCGGTTCAGTTTCACACATTAACGTAAAAAATACAACATCACGTGGCACAACGTCATATTTCGGCTTTCGGTTTACTTCGGTTTGATGTGCATAGCATGTAGTGGAAAGAAAAGTCTGAAATTAAATTAATACCATCATCACTACAGCGTCGTGATGACATGCGCGACTTCATGCAGAACTTGATCGACACCGTCGGATCCCTGGACGACATGCCGCACCCCTGCATCTCCAGCTTGGATCGCCTGCGTCAGTCCATCCATGAGAACGACCTGGAGGCCTTTGCCAAGTTACCCGCCCGGATCACCATCGATCTGGTCGGGGAGGTGCGCTCCATGATCCTCAAGCTAGATGAAGAACGGATTGTCATGGACGTGAAGCGGATGCTGAGCATTTTGTCGAAGATGAAGATGATGTTCGAACAGACGCAGGATGCCGGCGGGAGCCACAACGTGGCCCTCCGCGACGAGGTCCACGCTGCGTTGGCCGAGTACAACAACTTGTCCGTCCGCAACCAGTTTCGTCCGTTGATCCTCGCCTGCAACATCGTCCACTCCGAGTACCAGATCAACCTCGAGACGGGCGAGCAGAAGGCCCGGCAGGTCGCTGCCCACTTGGACTATGTAGTGCAATTCGATGTTTCCATCACGCTATCGTCTTCGGTTCTATGCATAACAATGTCATGTAAAAACAACACTGGCACAAGTTCGAGTCTCGCATGTTGATTCAATGTTAGCTGGAAACAATGCTGATCTTGAAGTGAAAAAGCGTGACAAAGAGACGAAGTAGTGTGATGGAAACAATGCTTTCACTTCCATATCGCCGTGTGCCGGAACAAAGTGCTTTTGTCCTACAACGAGGTCGAGATCGCCTTCCAGGAGATGATGTCCGCGTTCCGCGTGTACACCCTGTTGCCGGCGCAGGCCGCGATCACCACGGCGATTATCGGAAGTATGATTTTGCTTTTTGTTTTCTAGATCGGTTGCGAGAAAGAGTTGTGAAGAGGGAGAGGAAGTGAAGAAAGAACAGTATGAAAAACCCAAACGCGAATCTTCATGCCTAGTTGCACTTCATGCAAGAAAACTTCATCACAGACATGCAGATATGTTCTTCACTACACAAAAACAACTATCAGGCGACTTTGATGCTGCCAGCTTGGCGTTCGAAAACTCGGATGAAGTCTGGGAATTAGCGTGTGGGGAAGGTCGTAACAGTCTGTACCGCCAGATTACCAGGAAATGGCCGAATGGCAATCCCGCCGACGGGGATCAGGCCATGCCGCTGCAGATGCGACCGGACATGTACGTGCAGAGGCGCAGGGTGTCTATGGACTTGGACGATGACTTGGACGCCGCGAATGCCGCGCCGCAGCCGATCGAGGATGCCAACAACGACAATGTGAACAACAATGAGGCCAGCAACGGCATCGAAGACGAGGAGGATGACCTGTTGGCCGATGACTAATCGGCTTTGTAAAAAAGCGAAGGCTATTGCGCTACATTTATTAGTGTTTTATTAGTAACGTCTAGTGATCACGAAGTAAGTGCTGTACAGTAGTTTTTACTTTTTGTTCATGTAGAGAGCTGGCAGAAAAGCACTCTCTCTTGAACGTATGCTCTGTAAAAGGGCAAATAGGATTTGCGTTCTCCGCGCAGCGATGCAAAGATAGTGCACCTGGAGCATAATTTCGAGGTCGCATCATTCGAGAAAATAAATCTGCGTGGGTTTTCCCAAAAGACGCGAGGGTGTATCTGTTAGCCGTCTATACAAAAGTTTCTGTTTCGAGAAACCCACCAGATTATGCGACTATTCGAAAACAAGCAATTTATTTGTCGATGAAAGTAAAGGACCTGTACAAATCCTTCTTTTTGAGACCACAGAGTAAAAGTGAAAATAAAAAAAGAACGTGCACCGCAACAGCTTTTTCAAAATGCAAGCCTCGATGTTCTTTCCACAAATGCAATATCGAATTGATCACCTTTCTCTTTCTCACATGTGAAGAATGCAAATGTAACAATCGCGGCGCTGTTATTGATTACAAATGCAAAAGAGTGTCGTATTATGTCTTTCGGTTTGTGGCAATTGATATTGTGAAAAATGTTACTTCACTTACAACACCAGCGACACATGAGAAAGAGGGAATTACTCGGTGAGTATGTTTATTGATTCATAACAAAGACCGCACTTGATGAGAAAGCATTAGCTTAAGTTCATACTAGTTACAACACCACCTCTTCCGCAGGTGGTGAATGCGTGAGAGATTCTGCTGCGCTGTCTCGCGCGGCAGCTACTTGGAGCCGCGGTTCGACTGCTGCTCTGGGCCACTTGGAGTTGTGGTTCGACGGCAGTTGCTACTTGGGAGCGGGTGCGGGTGGAGGCAGCGTGGACGGTTGAAGCCGTCTTACCGCCGTCCGATGCCGTGAACGCGCAATCGTCCAATGCCGGGTGGAGGCAGCGTGGATGCCGGGTGCCATCGATGCACCCGACGGTGGACTCTGCAGATACGGACGAGCAGCTGCGAGTGCGGGTGGAGGAGCAGCTGCGAGCGCGAGTGGAAAGGCAGCTGCGATGGAGAACGGGTGGACCACCAGCTGCGATGGGTGGACGAGCCACCACTGCGCGTGACGCAGCTGACGGTGGTCACGGCAGCTGCGAGTGACGCCGTGGACGGGTGGAGGAGCTGCTGCGTTGCTCAGTGGAAGGTGGATACGGCAGCAGCTGCTGGCGCGAATCGAGGAGCAGCTGCGAGTGCGGGTGGCACTGCGAGTGCGGGCTTTCCCGCGAGTGCGGGTGGAGGAGCAGCTGCGACGGAGGACGAGTGGACGACCAGCTGCGCCGGCGAGAGGAGCAGCTGCGCGTGACGGAGCGGACGGTGGACACGGAAAGCAGAAAGGAGAAGCTGCGGCGGAAGCGGAAATTTGGACTACGGGCATTGGAGCCAGCGCGTCGAAGGAGCGGACAGCGGTTGTTTGATTCGATCAAACCTGATGGAAATCGCATGGGACGCCGCGAATATCCAAAAAAAAGAGCTATGGCCAAATCAATAAGCGGTGGTGAAGGTCATGCCAAAGTCCCATCGTGGAATACTTCTTCAACTCAGGCAAAAAAAGCGATTGCCTTGTATCTATGTCGCGTTTTGTATGTACCACATCGATTTCAAAAAAACCCCGCTTCGCATGTTCCGGATTCAATGCAATCTTTTTTTTGCGACACGACGTCAAGTCGACAATCGTTTTGACGATGCAGCACGTGATCGCCATTTTTGCACAGAAGCATGATCGCGCGCGACTGCGAGTTGATGATGGCCATAGCGCTTTTGTTCTGCATATCCTGGCAGCAGCGGATGCAGCGGACCGGCGGCGAACAAGGACGAAAGGAAAAAGAGGAACAGATGCGAAAACGCCGCCGGATGGAAAAATGGAAGCGCGGAGAACCCAGCGGTCCACGGATGGTGGTCGTGCATTGCATTTGCATTGCACTTGATAAAGAACCGCTTCTATCAAAAAAAAATCTCTCATGTTGCTTGCGAGCACTGACATATCGGGCTGAAGCTTCACAGTGCAGTGGTTTGCATGCTTGGGAAGATCGAAGGCAGTAGCTCATGAGAATTTGATCTTCGTGAAAAAAAGACTTTAAATACGCATTTAGATCCTACATTGAGGCGGAGGTAAAATCTCACCGGATCTGCACTGTGAAGCTTTTAGCCCTTTAACTTCTCAGATATGCATGTAGTGTGTCAGTATGGCGCTAATGATCACAAGCATGTCGTTTGCATATGAATAATGCTTCACAAACCAGCAGCGAACACACGGCAGGAGAAGCAGCCGAACAGGAGCCGCCGACTATCGTCTAAGCGAGTTCGTGTTGCGGACAGACAGAACGCCTTCCGTAAAGTGCGTGGGTGGCTTTATTCATGTCACCGCGATGCACACCAAGGAAGTGCTTAAACTAACTAGAACACAAGCTGCTGCGACACAGCAGCGACGTGACTATGCAGGATCGGTTGCTTCTGGTGTTCAACAAACATTGAAAAAAAAATTTTAAACTTTAAGAAATCCGGCAGCTGTCTGGTTTGCGTCATTCATCAAACCGCGCCGGTCCCAATGTTGATCTTCTTCGGCGGCATTTTGAAGTTTTTGGATTCCGCAATTGGAACGCAAAAAGAGATTATCAGATTTCCCTACGGTTTTGCTTTGATTGAAAAGTGAAACAGTGCAAGACGACGAGGAAAATGAAAACTCTGAAGACGAACATCAACGCGGCATTTTTCAGATCCAGCCCAACAACAATCAAAAGGAAAAGACGTTTATCAAGCCCACAAATGGTATTCTTTATTTCCAGTGCGTTGAACACAGTTTCCACCTTTCGCGAAGGAGCTAAGTCGATAAAATTCGTTTTGTTTCTCGATCTCGAAGCCTACTTTGTGACTTTGTATTTCTTATGCTGCAAATATCTTTGTTTTTGTATTGGTTGCTACACACACACAACACATCTCAATTTCTCAGCAGTTTTTCTTTGCACAACTATTACCAATTCGTTACATCACAGACACTTCGCGCCTCAATCTCCACGGTCCACATCCGTCGACGTCGCACAGGGTTCAGCGTTAGGAGACACATCCGGAGCGGTCGTTCCTCATAGCTATTTAACCACCTAGCTAATCACGTTTTACATAGCTATACGCATAGTAAATTCAAAAGCTAGATAGCATTTTTTAAACTCTTTTAGGATTTAATCGTTGGGCGTGTTATACGACTAGAATGAAAGGAGCAGTGTGGACGCCTCTCAGGCCTGAACACAAGCCGGAACCCTAAACCCGTTTATGTATTAGGTCGTCTTACAAATAAAATGATCTGTAAGCTATTTTGTATACTACTGCGTCGCTATACAAGTAAAAACCCTAAACCCGTTTATTCCACGATCATGTATTTTTTTCCATGCATCCATTCCAGCGGCAGACTTATTTTCTTTCGGAACGCAGAACGCTATCTCTTTTTCGCGCTGTGACGCTTGCAGCGCCTAAAGTAGTTGTTTTCAAAATGCTGCTCGAATTGAAGATACGAATACGTTGGGAAGAAGAGTTGTACTTGCCAAAGTCATCACCATCAGGCAAATTTGTGCTTACACTCAACATCCATTCTGGCGCTTCTGCATCACCAGACTATATGCATCTACAACTCCGCCTCCATCTTCAAGAACTTTGTCAGAAATACACTCTTAGACGGTTTTGATGATGGCGTATGTTTCAGAAAGGTGTTGCATCATGCTGGTTGCCTGCTTGCGGCCAAATAAAGAAGCTAAGTCTGCAATACACTGAAAAGAAAAGAAGTAATCAGACCTATCGGGATCAACTGTTTTTTGTACTTTTGTAGTTCAAGAGTACCTCCTCGTCCCCGGAAAAATCGCGAAGAACTTATCAAGAAGAAGAAAACAAATAAATCTAATTTTGAGGTCAAAGTCAATACATTTAATTTTGGGCACGTACACGTAGATGAAGTCAAGTCATCCAAAACGAACCCAGCTGCCGCTGCAGCTGTTGCTGGTGGTAGACATTTCCCGCATCGAGAGTCATTCTCATTTGTGAGTTCTGTGCCTTTACTAGCACATGAGCTGCAGTGCTGGTTGCTGACTGGGCCGGGTGGTAGTGAGACTGCCCCACTGCAGCTGCGCCACTTGTAGCTTCCTGTTGACGTCGGCCGAAGAGCACTTGATGCTGCTGCTGGTGAAGGTGCTGCGGCGCCTGCCACTGGTTGGTAACCTGCTGCTGCAGGTGCAGCTCCTGGACAGCCTGCATATTATATAGCATGTAGTGCTCATGCTGTTGGGCGATTTCGCTTTCTGTTGCGTGTTGTGGCTCCGTGTGGCCTCCTGCGGTGCCGACTGTGTGCAGAATACCGCTGGAATTAGCTGGGGGAATGGCAAGGGCTTGACTTCCAAGATGTACCTGCCCAGTGTTACTTTGTTTCTCGTCCGGCTCCGGCGGACTTTGCGGTAACAACTGGGATGCTGCCCGCATCACGCCGCCGTTCCTTAGAAGAGCGGGCACCGGAATGTTGTCCACCCCCGCTGGCCGCAGAGGCGAAAAGTGCGAAATAAGGTACGGACTCTCGCCTTTTTCATCTATTGCAGACAATATTGTTGCCTGAAAATTCTCTGGATCTGGTGGCTCCCACGAAGATGCGGCTCCTGTTTCGAATGGTCGTGCAAAGATCGGTTCCTGGTCACTATTTCTATCGGCAGCACTTGCTCGTGCTTCGATTGCAGCACTTATGCTATTTATTTCGCCCCCCTTGGCAGTACTAGTCTCTCGTAGCCGGGTATCGGCAGAAACAGAATCAATTCCCGACTGTGATTTTTCAACGGTGATGTGGAGGTGACCACCCACAGCATCCGCTTGGGCTTCTCGATCCAGGTGGTACCGTCCTGCAGATGAACCACAACCATTTGACAAGGCGGACGAAGCAGGTGCCACTTTGCCGGTATGTTGCCGTGACTTCCCACTTTGGAGGAGTCCTGAAAACCCACACCGCACGCGATTAAGGACGCGATCAAAATTGTTTTTCACGTATCTTGGCGCAGTCTTCCCGAGGGCAGCAAGGTCCTGCAGGTAGATGGTGCCGCCACCGCCAGTCGGTTTTGTAGGGCTCTCTAGTCCTGCTGCGTCGGCTGACCCGGGGTCAGTAGTTCTTTCGTTTCTTATTGTGGTGCTCGAGGAACATGATCTCGTCTCTTTTTCATGTTTCATCCCTGCAGCTTCTTCAACTTCATCGCCTTCGACATTATTGAAGCGAAGCATTTTATTGTTGCTTGTTGAAAGGGACGTATCCTTTGTAGCATTTTGATTGTCCTTAGTTTCTGCAACAAATGGAGCTCGATGGAGATTGTCTCTACTCCTAGCCGCGGCACTTGTTGTCGTGTCTGACAACTTGTTGCTCGGAGACGACGACCACTCCAGATCTGATCTACTGGGAAAAGCAGCACCAAAAGAACCATCTTCACTTTCGCCAGCGACAGAGGAGATCTCCTCGTCAACGTACTTTCCTCGGGAGTTTTTCGATTCTGCCACGTCTCCTGAAGTTGCTTTCTTTCCAAATCGCAGCTGATTTTTCTCCGCCCGCTCCGGTTTCAGATATCCACGAGCCACAGGTGGGTGGGTAAGGGCCAGCAGCTTGTTGTAGAATGGGTGCAGCAACTGCCTCTGAAACCAGTCAACCCGAGCAGTCCATGCCGGCGAAAGCATTTCGTAGCGGCGCAATACGACTCCGATTGCGGGCACACAGGCAACCAGCAAAAGAAAGCAGACAAGGAGCGCGATCACAGTCGGGCTCATCCCTGCGCTTGCTGCAGCACCATCCGCCCCCCGTATGCTTCCATTTCCGCCCGCGACGGAAACTGTCGGCAAAGTAGACCCTTGAGCAACGGACAGCACTCCAAGTTCCGGGTCGTGCTCCGAGAAGCATGCATGCAGCGTTTGCTCAAACACCGCGGCCTGTGCACTGTCGGTGACCGAAACGCGGTCGCCTGCGGCGCTAGCGGTGTCTCTGTCTGTGAAGCCACTTACCTGGTACGCGATCTCAGCGCGAAAACCGATACCCAATCGCCGCCGTACTTGTTTGCGCACCCGCTCCGGACCACCTCCAATCGCGCTGCTGGTTGCAGCCCAGGCGGGCGTTGCTCCAGCTACACTCGTGCTCGTTACCGGCGTTGGGACTAGGTACTCCGGTAGACAGTTGGCGTCTAGCAGACTAACGGACTCCGGCGCAACGTCGAGATATCGTGCGATCCCGTTGCGGAAAGGACTGCTTAGCTGTGACACTAAGTACGCTGCGCTGCATATGGAAGCGTGGTCAGGATTGTTTGGAAATCGACAAGAAAGTGGCGGAATAAACTTGCAACGCAAGAACAAGACATAATGCGGGGCCTCGAGTTGTGCCTGTCTTGCAGGAATAGAAAGTGAGGCCGGCTGTAAGTAAGCGTGGCTAGCCGCACGGGAAGGGTTGCGAAAGAACAGGACAGGAGGAGCGCCCCGGCCGGTCTTTCCGCTACGCAACATGACAGAATGATAAAGCAGCAATCTGAAGAACGTTGGCTAAATTAGTAAGGCACCACTTACGAATGATGGAGGGAGACACTTGCATTTGTATCGATTTGAATACGCACGAGGCAATGTTTTATTCACCCTGTCGATTTCATCCAACCTTGACACTCTCATAATGCAAATCGTTCCGGGCGGCGGGATGACAGACAGCTTCACGCTGGCGCGCAGTGAATAGGCTAGATTGGTGGTGGTGGTTGTCGTGGTACTCGTGTGGAAGGTATTCGCTTCCATGTCAGCACCCTGCTCTGGCAAAGGCAGGTGGTTATTGGAAAAGTAAATTGCTGTCGTGGTAGTCGTGGCAGAAGACGCCGCCAGTAGTCCCGAGCTGAAATTGCCTTCCGCGCCGTTATTTGCGAAAGGACGAGCCACTGTTGAGATAGTTTCATAGTCGGTCGCCGAAGCTGCATTCGACTCGTGCGCGGGCAGTTCGGACACCGCATCCACGGATTCAATCAGAATCACCGGCTCCGTAATCAAATTTTGCGTCCGCTGAAAAATGGTTAGGTATGCCTGTTGATAGGCCGTCGACCCGTCAACGGCATTCTGGTGAAACAGTTGCGCGTAGGAGTTTGCGTAAACAGCAGCGAGCTCGCCTTTGCAAAAGACCGCGGCGCTTCCCTCGTTCAGAAGCTGCCGCGAAAACCGGCACTTGTGTTCGCGGTCGCGGTAATCCGCACCGAATTCGGCACGAAATGCGGTGCGAAACGCCGAGCTCACGAGGCAAGTTCTTGCCAGTGTTGCCTTTGACTGTGCGACAAGCAGCTTCGCGACGATCCTGGTTTCCCGAGGCACCGCGTTGTACGGGGGCGCACTGCGAAAGCCAGAGCCGCTCACTTCAATCGTTTCCAGCGCAATGTCGAACACGGCAAGGCTTGGACACGGTGTGGCGACAGCTGTCTCGATAGCGGCGGCAACAGCGGTTTTGATGTACACATCGCGGGAGAAAGTGGCGGTAGTTGCGTCCTCTGGAAGAAGCAAGGAAAACTTCATCGCGATTCGCACGTGCCGGTCTTGGTCGCCGAAGTAGGTGCAAAAGTTCTTTCCCGCCGCTTGTGTATGGCAGGGCGCCCAGTGGTTGGCCCAGTACTGCAGCAAAAACGAAAACCGGCAGCGGCATTGTGCCAGGCTTGGATCGACGTCAGCGCCAAAATTGTGGCACTTACCCCATTTGGCGGACGACAGCACCTCGCCGCGACCGTCGCAAACATAGAGAGACTCCAGCTCCTCGTCCGTGGTGCCTTGTGTGCGTATCGCGACAGAATCTGACGTATGCGTGGCGCATATGTCTGGGGCTGGCGCTGGCGGGCTTACCCATTACCCATTCAAAGCCGCTTTGAAGATAATCACTTGCGCGCATTTATTGTTTTTGTCAACGTGCATTTTTTGGAACTTGCTTTAGGTACACATTTCTTCTCATGGCTTGGAGATCCGACTCAGATCCGGCTCCGCCATCACAGTCCCGATGTGCGTGCAACCTGCCAAGTCGGATGAAGACGCAAGTAATTCGCTAGTATTCTATGCGTAGCAAGAAATGGACAGCAGGACCTTTCCGTTCTTGGCGCTCATGCAGTGGCAAAAAGAAAAACAGAAGTGCTTGATTTGAATTTGATTTGTGGTCTTGTGAGTTTGCTGCACGAAAATAAAGGCTCTATGTCCATCCTATTACCAGGAGACCCAGACATAGTTACAGTCAATATGACGTCATGGAGGCTGTGTCCGAAACGGCGAAGCCGGCGACCGAAGAGGATTGGCGGCACTGACGCTGAAACGGGTCGCAGTAGCCGCTTTGGCACATGTGCGGATGCGTGCAGGATTGCCCATTTGGCAATGCAAGAACGCAGTAGTTCGGCAGCAAATGCGTCGCGCCCTGTCCAAGTTGCGTAATGCTGTGCACGGGCCCCCTGGGTGCGCGGCATCGCCGCAGGCACCGGACCGACCGGCAATTGCCAGTCTCTCCCAAGCCGCAGGCCCGTGGGCAGTTGCAAAGCAACTGCTCGACGCCGAACGCCGAGTAGCCCTTCCGCTGCGTCGCCTCATCGCGGCAGCTGGCCTTCCCGATCCAGTAAGAGCACGGCAAGTTTGCCTCGTCACGAAAAATCTGGTTGTCTTGGCACTTGCTTCCGGCATATATATTCGGGTTTTCGTATACAATGTTGGTGCCGGCGTAAACAGGGTCTAGTACCTTGTACTCCTCGTTGGCGCTGACGACAAGGCCAAGAGGATGAAGGACGCTTGAAGATGCAAAGAACAAAAAGATAAAGTAGATGAATTCATGCAGCTGCATGATGATTTTGGTCTGGCAAAACGAAACCTATAACGAAATACACAATTACAACACGAAGTCAGGTTTTCTTACAAGCGCCACTCATGAACAGCAAATCTCAACACGTAGTTCATTCTACTTTTTCTTGTCATGTTCCCAGAAACAGAATGTTTGTATCAGTCGCATTTCTAACTACGAAGATAAAAGAGTAGGTCTGTCGGTTCCCCCCAATATCATCTCTGATCGGCTTCAATACCAGCCTTCATCATTTGAAAGAAGAAAAAAGGTCATAAAGTAGGAAAAAAATGCTCCGCAATTGCATGTGCCACTGCCTCATTCACTCTCCGCGTCAGGAGCGATCTCACTCTCAGGTTTTGACTAAGTGCACCGACATGCCACGAGCACATGCACAACGCAGCCAAACCAGACGAGATAACCAAATCGGAACGCATACAGGAGCTGGCAGAGAGGAGCTGCAGCTTCCTTTTTGCCCGGGTAGGGGCTATGTAGGTCTAGGTCTTTTAATTGTGCGAGAACTAAAAAAACATCTCACCTCCATAACCACTGCTGAGTGCAGAAGGTCTTCAGATGCCTCTCTTACATAGGGAGTGATAACATGACGAGTCTACCTCGCCAGCGAACTCTCAGCTGTGCCACTCCCACCTCGATCAAGGACGAAAACTTAGCGCAAGAGCTTTACTTGTTAGTAGCGGCAGGACGGCAGCTGAACCCATGTTCACCAAATATCTTCAATAAACGTGATCGCTACAGCCACGGGCTTGCAGCTACGTAGAGCCTTCGGAGAAGCGAAAGCTTTTCTTTCTACATCAGACTATCCACAGCTTCACCTACCAGAGGCACACACTTACAGCCACAGGCCACAAACTGACACAGCAAAATATTAAAGGTCACGTGGTTGCCTAATTCTGAAGAAAATTTTAGCACATCAACAGGCACACTTCCCTTTTTTTTTGTTCTTGTGTCCTCCCGGACCTGCTGCATTCTCTGCTGTGAGCGTGATGTTACCGCTTTGCCCTGCTGAGCCGCTTCCTGCTGAGGAGGCGGCTGCACTAGAACCGGAGGGCGCACTTGCTCCAGTTGTATTTTTGCCACCCGCTGCCGAGGGACTTGCAGTATTGCTACCTGCTGCATCGCCAGAGTACCTACAGACAACTACGGCGTCGGCGATGTCATTGAAGGCGCCCTTATACAAGGAGTACAAATCATTTCCCGCATGCGACGTCAACGTACTTACACTTAGTACAAAACGCATGACCTGTTCTACTAATTTTCAGCAAAACGGAAATCATAGCGAGAGAGCGCGCAACAGGATCATTTAGATTTACTGGAACAATGAGCGCGATTGCGACAATCCTTGTACTTAGTACTTATTTCTTTTCGTCTACTTCTACTATTTGGATCATTACAAAATAATGATACACACGACGAATTTTCTTCGCCGCTTGGAATCACAATCATACACAATGACACTGCATCTGCAAATACGAAAAACTTATAAAGAGTAAAAATCATTGACATTGACGTCATGCAAAAACACAATGAGACATACGCGCATGGTAAATTTTCTGTGGATAGTCCTCGACAAAATCCCCCGTTTTCGCGGAGGTCTCGTAAAACTGCATTTTATGCTTGGCCGCGAGCTCGAAGCCGCGCTCCTTCGGCACTTTTCGCTTTTCCTCCAGGTCGCTCTTGTTGCCGATCAAAATTTTCTGGACGTCGGATATGAAATGGCCAGCTGAAGAAGCATCAAACCCAACTGGAGCAATTGTAATTGTAGACAGTGACGTGAGAGTCTCGTCCGCGTGCTGCGTCTTTAAATGCCAACGAATTCCTGTCGCCACGAGACCTGGCGCTCCTAATCTGCAGGAGCGCCAGGTCTAATGTTATGCTCAGTACCCAGACGAGTAGAGCTAGACAGTGACAGATTATCTTCTTCATCATTTATTTTTCTTTATAAATAAATTATGCTCCGTTGGTTGAGATTAAGACTCCATCTACGAAGGTCATAGCGGAACTGCCGTGCTGGTCGAGGTTATTTAGCCACATCTATGCATTGCAAAAATATCGCTCTGTACGTAGTACTCGTACAAAAATAAACGCATTACATTTACAAATTTAAATTTTCCCAGCATGAGAAATGAAATTTGTAGTCGTGCTGATCTACGACCTCAAGAAAAAGATTTGTAATGCATGTTTGCAAGCAATCTTATATATCTACAATACTAGGGAAAGCAGTCCGGCCCCTGGCCAGTACAGTTAAAGCAAAAAGTTACAGACTGAAGGCCGCGGAATTCGTGCGGCTAGGTAGAAAAACCGCGCGCGCTGTCGTTCGTTCGAAAAATATTAAGAAACTTCGAAAAATAAAAAACTGCGCGCCAAGATTTTCGTCCAAACGTTAATTCAAAAAGTGCCGTCGGTGTCGTCCAACCGCGCTTCGGCGCGCAGCCCCATCTAAACGTTAAGCCAGGGGCCCATCGGTAACGGGCCCCCATCGGGCCGTGGCGCCCCCGCCTGGCCCGCTGCCGATCCCTGCCGCCTGCCCGCCCGACCCGCGGCCGCCGTTCCCCCGCCC